TCTCCCAACCTGCCAAACTAACATAACTTAGTGGACATGCTTAACAGGATTGCAGTATTAGAAAAGATGCAAATGTCCTATGGAAACCATGTTCACTATTCACTCCAAGCAAAACTGCGTATTTTGGAAAATGCTTTGAGCAGCAGAATCCCAGCCAACCAAACTATGTATACAACTATAGATAGCTTTGATAAGGCCCCAAATGTACAGGTAAAAATATATTTCGCTGTCATTCTAGGAAAAAGAATCATAAATCAGTTTTCTGTAGGGTTTTTTTAGTGGGTTGCTACCTGGAGAAACCAAGAGACTGAGCTCTACAAAGCCAGCTCGGTGAGCTTAGGCCAGTCACTCTCAGCTCTAGGATGAAGGCAATGGTAAGTCATTTCTGATATCTTGTCAAGAAAACTGTAGAAACATGTCCAGGCAGTTGCCAGGACTCAACAATGACTTGAAGGCACCACAACATAGTCACATAGTGAGGCAGAAACCTTGATGTGGTTGTGGGCCTTGAATCCTCTGAAGGGATAAAAGCTATGCCAATAGTTCAACCATACTGGACAGGTCTCATCAGAAGAGTCAGACAAAGAATGCATCTTTCAAACAGTATGATGAGACATACTTTACAGAAACCCGTACTGCATTGGGCATCACCCATATTAATAAACACCATGCTCGAAGCTCCTGGACATCTGGTAACAAATAGGTTACAAGACTTAGGACTGTTGGCTAAATAATCAGGGCCAGCAGCTACAGGGCTAAAGAAAAATTGTTTAAATATACTGTGGGAAGTCAGCCCCCAGAGAAGGAAATATTAAAAGGGCAGAAAAGCATGCTCAGTTTTCTTAATAGCCCCAGGTCTCCCTTCCCCAAGCAGAAACCAGCTCAATAGAGATGCAGATGTAAATCCAGGGAGCTAGGAGATTAAGAAGACAAAGACCTAAAGTCTACATACCAGAGTCATTAGCCCCAGCACCAGGGAAGCAGGATATGACCTTTGGTCATAATAGGACTAACCCATCACCATCACAATACCAGAAAAGCACACTCAGACTCCGATCAAAGTTCATGCCACAGGAATAGAAAGCAACTCAAAACAAAAGGCTCCAGAGGGTATAAAAACCCACTCCCCACATGTGCTCAGCCCTTTTTCTCTCTTTTCTGCCAGACCCATCTTTCTGTCTAGCTCTCCTCTTCAATAAACTGCAACCTTCTTTCTAAAGCAGTCGCCATATTGTTTATCCCCAGCTTGGACTGAACCAGGATGAAGACTTTTCTTCCAACAATACAAAGATTGAAAACAATGTTATGTTATTACAAATCAAACCCTATAGATTAGATAATACCTTAAAATGTTTTTTCTGCAAAGAAAAACAGCCAGAATCAAAAAATAGAACAGAGATTACCATATCAACACTGATTTAAAATAAAGTATTCAGAGAAATAGAATTAGAAGAACCACAAAAATTTACTGAGGGCAAAGAAATCAAAGCCTTACCAGTAATAATCTGCAGAGACAAACCAGGAAGTTGGTGTAGAGAAAACTAGCATAGCTATTGAATTGTTTTTCATTCCCAAACCAGGCACTCCATTCTGCCTCCTCCTCAAAAGGAACAAAGCCCTCTAACTAAAAAGATGATGAATTGAAAGAATAAATGAGCATCTACAACAGCACCAAAACAACAGAATAAGATTGCCTGCATTGAAGCTTGTTTCAAAGAAAGAGCTAGCACAAGTTTTGAAAGATGCCAGTACTGTAATATCAAATATAAGCACCAGCTCACTGTAAGAATTAAACCAACTAACGTACAGCACAGGTGCAATTATAACTGAATAACTGGGATACAAAATCAAAAACAAGAAAAAAACTGCACCACCAAAATGGAACATCAAAATGGAAAATAAGATCAGCCTCTGCTGCTTTGGGCTTAGTGCAATATTCTTTACTACTGTACCTAGAAACTTAAACTGGTTCAGAATGCAACTGCATAAACAGTAATAGGAGCCCCTTGATTTACCCATGCAATGTTTTTGTTGCGTGAGTTGCACTGGCTTCCAGGTTTTTTTTTAGTGCAATTTAAGATCCAGTCATTGCCTTTAAAGCCCTATAAGGCATAGGGCAGGTTATCTGTAGGACCACCTTTCCCTGATATCATTTACCAGTCCTACCAGATAGGGTAGTAATACTCCTAAAAGTTGCCATCCGATTGGAGCTAGAAAAATGTGTCTTTTCTGTAGCAGATCCTGCCCTATGGAACACTCTTCCCCCTGACATTTGGCAGGCTTCCATCCTGACCTTCCTGACTTTTTCTCCAAGCATTGGTCAGAATTGCATAACTGCATATTAAATAGTTGATTTGGTATCAATTTTGTTTTTAATGTTTTACTATTTTAATTTATTTATTTTTATAGTCATAATATGGTGTTATATGTTTTAACATTGATTGGGAGGTGCCCACAGTTGGTTAGAAGATGGGCAGCTGTATAAATGTTTTAAATAAAATTAATTCATTAATAAAGATCTCAAACAGCAAACTCAGTGGAGGAAATACCATCAAATCAGTGAATACCTGGATAATTCCAGTCATTAGGTATACAGATGGAATAGTAGACTGGACTTAAGCAGAATGAGAAGCCCTGAATAGGAAGACCAGAAAAATAATGACAATGTATCATGCCCTTCATCCACACAGTAATGTTGACAGACTCCATTTACCAAGCAACATAGGTGAGCCTGCAATGTTACAAGTACCTCAGATAGTTGTAGAAGGAAAAGGTGCAGTGGAAGAATATCTAAAGGACAGTGAAGAAATGCCCTTAACCTAGTGCAACATGAAGGTAGGAGAGATCACATGGGTTTACAAAAAAGACTAAATGAAGAATAGAAAAGAGACATGGCAAGCAAAATCCTTGCCAGTATACACACATACATACACAAACACATACCCCGTAGCAGTTAAGCAGAGAACAAGATCGGGCAATGGTTAAGAGCAGAGAAGTTGAAGAAAGTGACAGATGGGGCTAATTCTACTGCACAAGATCAAGCCTTCAGATGCAAAATCAAAGTTGAAAAGAAAATGCTCCTTTTGCAAAGAAGCTAAAGGAACTATGGAATACCTAGTTAGCTACTGCAAGAAGATTGCATAGTCTGATTACAAACAACAGCATGACAAAGTAGCAAAGTGTATTGGAAAATCTGCAAGAAATACTATTTGAGTGCAGGTTTTTTTATGGGGGGAAATACAAAATAGACTAATAGAAAATAAGCTGAAGTGCTCTGGGATTTTAGAATTAACAGACAAGCAGCTGCTAAATAACACTCCAGACTTAACAATTTTTGATAATAAAAGCAAAAAAAAGTCTAGACAATGGACTTGCAGTACTTGGAGACAGCACAATATAAGAGAAAGAACTGAAGAATATCAGAAAATACAAAGACCTGCAAATAGAAGTAGAATGACTATGGCAAAAGAAAGCAAAGATACCATTCACAACAGCAGACATTTTGAATACAATCTCAAAATATATCTGGTGTACCATGTGAGCACCATCGGAATTGACAAAATCACCACAGTCCAAAAGACAACTTTACTTGGAACAGAATATATCCTGAGACAGTATCTTCAACACTAACAAACAACATCTGCCTATTCCAGGTCTTTGGGAAGAATTTGATAGGTGGATAAAAATGTCAAACCCAGTCTAAACATTTGGCTGACTGCAAGCAACCATAATTTGATTGGTTTGACTGATTGAAAACTTGCCATTTTAGGTAATATATTGAAAAATATTTTTTCCTTAAATAGATAGTAGAATGTGGACCCAATGCAAAAGATGCATCTTAAAACATTCCTCTAATGTTTTACGGTTGACTGAAATAAATTACATTCTAGGTATGATTTTTTTTAATGGTAATGGTGAAACCTTGTTCTTTTAAATGTTTTGTAACTTTATAAAGGATTTGTGTTTCTCTATGACTGCTGAATTTGGTAAATTTGATGGGAGTGTGATTTCCTGGCCTACCTTCCAAATTATGGCTATTTGGTAGCTGAACACATCAAGGTATGCTAGTCTGATTTGGAAATAGGAAGATTTCTGAACAGATTTCTGAAGTTCAGAATTTTGCTTGCAAGATTTGAGTATTATAACAACAATGGCCACCTGATTTTGTGTGATTAGTAAAGTTAATTGATTTTGGTAGCAAAGATGGTTATCTGTGGCTATTTTAAGGAAATATTGAATTGCAAGTAAGTAATGAAATAAGCTTCCAGTGAAAAATTTGGACTTTTTTGCACCGAAGATGAAAAAAAATCTTACAAACCCAGACAATTGGGTCAATGTAGCTGGCTGGAGATAGGCACTATGCCCTTCTAGTTTGTTCTTGATGATTTGAGTTAAGAGGTTAATCATTCTTAATATTGAATGAATTAGAATTCTCTACTGTGCTCATTTATAATGAGTGTTTATTTTAAATATGCCCATTCGAGTTACTTATCTTTAATAAATTAGAAGATTTGTGGGTTGGTTTCCACTAAGTAACAGTTAAAATTCTACATTTGTAGAATCAAGAATTTTCCCATTAGAAAAAACAACGAAGCCACATAATTTATTTTTAAAAAATGGCTCAGAAATAAGCGTGTTTAGTCAACTATTTAATAACGGCTAATTTATATGCAAAGGAAATAGTATAATAGGAAGAATTAAGGTTCTGAATTAGTACCCAGAGTGCTAACAAAGTACCGAAATGTGTGCAGTGTAAAATAAAATATACAACAGAGAGGAATCTTACGTTAAACCAGCCTGCGCTGGGCTTCCCCTCCTTTCTAACGCTTCCACGTCATCACGTGGCCTTTCGCTCGCCGTTGCTAGGGTGAAGCTGTAAGCAATTAATATGGCGCTCCCTATCTGGTACATCCGAACTCATAGGTCCCGTTTCATCCAATGAGAGACAAAGTTTTAGATCGCCTTCCTATAGCAACGCGAAAGAGGTGGGACCAAAGGTTGAGCTCGGTTGAAGTAGTTGAAGAACGAGATGGACTCTCAAATGAGGTTGTGCAAAGACGCGGGAGGTTTCTTGTAGCGGGTCTCGGATGGCTTTTCTCACGTTACAACAGATTTGATATTTGTTCCGTGGTGGATGCTGCGCTCACGGTTGTTGCCTTGTAAGTTACCTCAATTTTGTGTCTTAGTTCTTTCTTCGGAATGGGTGTGTCAAAGCCAAGACTGCAGTGATCATTCTGAAGAGAAAAGGCCTTTGCTTACCAATCACAGTGTCGGACAGCTGTATTAGGAATGCAATTTTGGAAGATATTGTAATATAAATAATTAGAGAATTCTTATCCAGAGCTTATTAAACTAATTAGTATTCAGAAACTACTATAACATGAAAATCTACTGGAAAAAATAAAATCTCGCTTTGTGCTATTAATTGCTATTACGATGAATTCAGGGATGAATGCTAAACTCTTGTTCGGTCCTTGAAAATGTCTTTACAGCGGTTTAGTATAATGCAATAGTTTTTTTTTTCTTTGAAATCAAAGAGAAACGACTTGCATGTTATAAACAAACTCATGCGGAATTTCTCCCTCAGTCTTCTATGATGGAGTTGGAGAAGATGGTCCTAGAAGCATCCAAGTACCAAACCTTTACCTTAAACAGTAATGTAGCTTATTTTGAACAGGGATAGCTGTGTAACAGATTGGATAAGTCTGTTTCTCTTATTGGGACTTCTGTTTGCTTTTATCTATTATCAGGTGTATGACTACATAAGACACTCAACCCTATATTCAAGAGTTTATTTACGCCAGCAGTTTCGTAGACATGACGCAGCTAAATGTTGCCTTATTTCACACAAGTGAAATATGCAGAAAATCAACAGAACAAAGAAAATCTGTCTGCTTCAATATTCAGCATACTTGGATTTTGGACCTTGTCCTCTCACTTTTTCAAGTCAACTTTTTCCCAGCCTTGAGAGTTGGAGACCTCTGTTCTATGTTTATATAGGCACTTTTCCCTCTAGTTGGAAAGTTGTTAGTTCCCACCTCACCAGATTCACTCTTCTATTGTGGGAGTTTAGATTTACCATATCCTAATTTTCTACTTAATGACTCTTATTAGTTTCAGGTATACAATAAATGCTTATTGGTAATTAGAGTAAAATTTTGGTTCCCTATAAACTAATTCCTTTGAGGCAGAATAAAACTGCTGCCAATTCATTCTGCTACTCATCAGTCACGTAGTAAAGGTTGAGTTTCTGTAAAACAGATCCACCTTTCAGTGTAGTTAGACATTCGAAGATGATAAGCTGATAGTACTGAGAACTCCAGATCCAGAAAAATCAATAGGTAATTTTGTAGTATATCGAGGCACTTTCATTCCCCAAAAATGATTAATCCCTAATGACTTTAAAACAGTTAAATATCTTATTTTATCCATAGTTTATATAAAGTAATATTTAAGTCTCTTAATGTTAAACGTGTTCATTGACAACCCCAAACGTTACTTGTGAGCTATTCCCAAAGAAGACTTGAATGTTGAAATAACTGATTTAGCATAAACTTAATTTAGATAAAATGCATAGGGCTAATTGATATAACTGAGATTCAGATTCAGACTTAATAATAAACAGTTAATAAAAAATAAACAATTCAAACAAAGCATCTTTGGTTAGTTCAACTATATGAGTGCAGAAAATTAAAAAGTTATTGCTTTGGTGATGTGCCTTATACTTAGAAATGATGTTATGCAATGTCATCTAAAAAGTTTTTATATTATATAAGTTATACTGGGCCAGGACAAACTAGGGAATCTTTGCTATCCCAGTTACCCTGCATTCACGTATTTAAATTTTAATTGGTAACACACAAAAAATGTTGGTACATGATCAGTTTCTAAATTCTTTGTTTTAGGCAGCTTGTGGCAACATAAAATCCAAAATTAATTCTGGATTTTAAAAGTAAAATTATTACATTTAATTTCCCTGGTTTTTTTTTAACTGTCAAAATTGTGAAAGCTATCAGGATACTTCATAAACTGTATTAGTGCAAATAAAGCATCCTCTTTGAAGCATTATGCCAGTGTGTCTTTTGCAAGGGTCAACATGGTTATATGTTCTCTTTGTATGTACAAAAAATGTCATTGCAGTGAAGCAAAAATGCATATATACACAGATATGCAAACTGTCTAGGAAACCTTCAAAATAGCTACATTGACCTTAACAATTGCCTTAAAAAGTCCCTGCAGTATACTTGACAAAGTTTTTCAAAAATAGTTTGTCACTGCCTTCTTTGTAAGGTTTAGAAAGATTGACTGAACCACGGTCCCCCAATTGGCTTCCATTTTCTAGCCTGGTGCTTTAACCTTTGGTGTTGCACCACACCAAACTGGTTCTGATTCCTGAAGACATAGATACTTAAATTGAGGAGGAGTTTTGTTTATATCAATATATTCTGCGAAGCTCCATTTGAATGCTTTGCACTCCTCTAAAATTTGTCATTACTGTATTCCTTGTCTTGTTACGCTCATGACACTTGAGTCCCTTGGAAGTTTGGATAGTTGCAGACCTTACCAAGTGGTTTATGGATGCATTCAATTTTTCTGAAACAGAAAATTTTGAGATTTATAATGCAGAATTTCCTCTCTTTTTATTGGCAATTTGCTTTAAATAAAAACGTACTTTTTAGTGCGTGCTACTTTGAAAATAATATGGATCTTCTAATTGTTACTAGTGTTTCTATATTTTGTAGATTGTTAATAAGCCAACTATTTCCGTGTTTCCCATTCTTTAAAAACCAACTATAATACAAAGCAAACAAATGAACACAAACTAAGTATAGCTTAACTGAAACAAAAGATTCAAATTATAGTATATTATATCTTGATCGTATTAAACTCAGTGATTCAGAGACCAGTTTATAATGTAATTTTGATCTCACAAATGCTAAAAGAATAAACTGATTTTCTCCGTAGCTTATGAATAAGGATGCCTTAAAAAGCTACCATGGACAAATATATTAAAGTGCAAAAGATTGGTGAAGGATCTTTTGGAAAAGCAATTCTGGTTAAAGCAAAGGAAAATGGCAAACAATATGTTATTAAGGAAATTAACATATCCAAGGTATGTTTCTAAATTTATATTTCTTTTTCATTACTCTATTTACAAATAAATTTTAAGAAGTAGTGCTTCTATTTTTAAGATGACAAATAAAGAAAGAGAAGAATCAAGAAGAGAAGTTGCTGTTTTGGCAAATATGAAACATCCGAATATTGTTTTGTACAGAGAATCATTTGAAGGTTAGTCTTAATGATAAACTGATATTTTGAAGTCAGGAACGTAAGTCTTAAAACACAAATTGAATTAAAGATGCTAAATTGTCAGGATTTGCTTAAATAGTATTTTTACTACTCAGGTTTTCTAGCTGGTATTTCTTGTTTATGTTGCAATTCCATGTCTGCTCAATAGGAATAAGTAATGCTGATCAGTAGGATTTCTAAGTGAATGTTATTGAGTTATGATATAAGGTAAACATATCTGTTTCATTACTTTGAAAATATATAATTATTAGAAATCAGAAATTAAGAAATTACTTTATTAATAGTATATGTAAATAAACGCCAACTTTTTTCTTTTGTTACAGAAACTGGCTGTCTTTATATAGTAATGGATTATTGTGAAGGCGGAGATCTGTTTAAAAAAATTAATGCACAAAAAGGAGTCTTTTTTTCAGAAGACCAGGTAATAGAATTTAAGATATTTATTTATTTTATAGGCTATCCATCTTCTAAATGACATAGAACAAATAAAGTCATTTAGAAGAGCAAAACAACAACAAAATAGATCAGGCCAAATAAAACAAAGAAAAACAAGAAAGGGATCTAAAACCATCCTATTCCAAAACCTCTGGAGAACAACTTGGTATTTAAGGATTTCCTGAATGATATAAAGGTGGAAGCCATACAAATCTCTGGGTTAAGATCATTCCAGAAAGCTTGTGCTTTCTGATCCTCAAGATGACATTCTTTTATTGATGGGAGTACATCCACCTTGCTGGGAGGGTGGAACTTGGAAGGAACTTGTGTGTGATTTCTCCCTGCCTGTCAATACTGATTGAAACCACACACATAAAATGGTGCCTTTTACTCCCATTCCTGAAAGCTGGTCCCAAAGGATATTAAGGTCAATTATGTCAAAAGCTAGTGAGTGATCAAAGAGTGTGAAGATGGTCACACACTTCCTATCCCTGCTTCGCCACAGATCATCAACAAGCACTATTAATGCCGTTTCCTGAACTTTGGCCTGAAACCTGACTGCAAAATGTCCAATAATCTTCCTCCAAAATCATCTGTAATTAAATCCTGACTGCTCTCTCCACCCTCTTTCCAAGAAAAGGAAAGGCGGAGAGTAGATGATATTTGTCTAAGTTTGTTATATCAAGCTATGTTTGTTTGAATTGGTTATCTTGTCAAAAGCTGAAGAACTATGACTTCCGGTTCCGGTTCGTGGCGACTCCGGTCGAGTAAAGAGACTTGTCTCCACCGGCTGTGTTTCTTTGCCGGTAGACCCCCCTAGTGGGTCAAAAGTTGCCCTGGAGGGGCGACCACTGAGGAGGAGGCTTGCTGGTGACTGCGGGAGGGCGGCAGCTTCTTCCGCAGCTCCAGCTAACTCCTTAGGGCCGACAGAGCAAAGATTGTCCTGCAAGATGGCCGATTCCTTAGCTGCACCAGCCAAAAGTCACAGGTACATCTAAGCATGAAAGACCCACCACGGATAATCTGGGTGAGACTTCTCCTTCTCCTCTCTTCACCCTACTTGATTTTTTGCCTGTCAAAGCTCTGTTGGAATTAATTCCCAGCCTTAAAAGAGCGGTGTTTGTATGCGTGGGAAGAAAGGCGCCTGAATAAAAAGACAGAACAAGTAATTTCAATGACTATATTTTACTTTCATTTACTTTGGGGTACAAAAAAAATCTTTTTTTAGAGCTTTACTATCACTTTAAACTGGAAGAATTTTTTTTCTACCTTTTCCTTTAAAAGAGAGAGAAAAGGGGAAAAATAGTGTCTGGGAAAGATTTTGTAATCTACTGAGGACATCTTGTGGTGAAAAGTTAATATTGCAATTATCTGTTTTTCTTTGGAGAGGAGGTGGGCTTGACCTTCAAACTATTCTTGAAGAGAAAAGATAAGCTGATCCAGCTGTAGGAAATTGTGGGGGTGGATATTGTTTATATATAGCCTCCACTAAATGATAAAAGGGACTCTCTTCAATTACTACTAAAATGGAGAAACCTTATTTACAACTAAACTGTAAACTTATAGTGGAAAAAATTTATGAAGCTACTGAAGAAGTATGCGCTAAAATGAAAGAGATTATTACAGAAATAAGAGCCAGAAACCTTATTCCAAATTCTCCAAACTGATCTCCAAACCTTATCTGACTATGCTATAAATCAAAATATACCAGAATAAGAACTAATTGAGATTAAAGAGGAATCTATTTTACCTTATAAGCATTCCATCCATATTCTCGAGGATCAGAAGAACCAAAGATTGATACTGGAACTTTTGAAGCAACGAGGGTTTAATGACAAAAGAGCCACACTCCCATTACAGAGGACGGGGTGTTTTCTATTGACTCAAATGATATTACAAGCGACAAAGGGAGATTTACTTGCTGAGATAGAAGCTTTGTTATGGAAACTGGCCTGGCACAAAAAGAAAGCCAGGATAAGACTGAAAAGAGAAATTTAAAACTATATGTAATGGATTAAAAGTCATTGTAGAAATATGGATTGATTTAAGGTTTAAGACTTAGAGTTAGAAGCGAGAGAAAAATTGGTGATTACTAGAATATATATGTTAGATAGATTAAGAATGTAATTTTTGGAATAATAGATTTATTTGTATGAAAACTATTTTGTAATGTAATGAATGAAAATGGAAGAGGTTTTATAGTGGTTTGGATTGATTCAATAATTAATTGAGTATGTTAATTTAGTACGATGATGCTTTGTGTAATAATTGGGTGTTTCTAGATATGATAACTATTTGGATGAGATTTTAATTTTGCCTAACGGACTGAAATGGTTTAAGGTTTGGTATTATTTTGTTTTGTTATAGAGATATACTGATTGATGGATGGTATATGTATAGGGTAGAGTTATATTTTATTTTAATTAGGATAAATATCGAGTACTGGAAGAAAAAATAAGAGAGATTCGTGATAAAATTAAGGATTTAGGAGATTAAGAACTAGAATACATCTGGAAGGGATACCCGAAGTGATAATATGTTTATTTAAGGTTAAAGTGGATTATGGTAATTGTAAATTAATAAAGTTTAAAAACAGGATTAGGATTTATAGAAATTTAATGTAGAAATGGATTATTTTAAATATATTATATTATTTGAGGGAAATAGGGAATATTTAATGTATTTACTTAGGTTATTTTATATGGATTTATTGTTGGATATTTGACTACCCCAGCACCACGGTGTGTCCTGAGCACTTTGTTGTAAGAGTTTGAAAAACTAATAAAATTTGTTTAAAAAAAAAAAAAAGCTGAAGAACTGCACACACCTCCAAAGAAGCTGATACCATGTGGACCCAAATGCAAACTATCTTCTAGGTGGCTTTGACAAATCTAGAAAAATATGTGTTAAATACAAAAGGTCTTGGTATGCTTTGCTTGCTTAGAAAAGGGAAGAGATTGATTCATGAATATGCAAAACACTGTTGAAAAGATACTTAATCTTTATTATTGTCACTGACCATATTTTTAATGACTTCATTAAAAGTGAACAAAGTATGAAAATCCACGACATAAGAAAAAAGCATAAATGCTATCTAGAAAGAACAATAAAAATGATTAAAGTTTCCCTGTCAGGTTTGTCCAACATTAAGGCTCAACTCCATTTCTTGGCTGAGGGAACCCAGTGTTGTCTGAAAACATTTTCCATGGTTGAATGGCCAGTATGGCTATATACCAAAGACGCACAGGATGCTGTTACCTTCCAACCAAAGTGGTACCTATTAATCTACTTGCATTTGCATACTTTTGAACTGCTAGGTAATCCAGAGCTGGAGCAAGTAACAGGAGCTCATTCCATTGTGCGGAGCTTGGGTCTCCAACCCAGACTGTCAACTCTCAAGCTGACAAGCTCAGCATCTTTAACCGCTGAGTAAGGCATCAGCATGAGTGCGTATGATGTACTACTGCCACTAAATATGGATAACAGAATATTAACAATGGAATCTAAGTGATAAAAACAAAATGACAAAATTAAAAATATTTCAGTGAAGTTGAAAAGCAAAAGTATTTGTCTACTCTGATAAGGCTTTGCTGATACTCAAATTGATTCTTTCAGTATTGGTAAATGTGAATACAGGTAGGCCACATTTAACAACCACTTGTTGAACAACCATTCAGACTTATGATAGTTCTGAATGAATGGTACTTATGACTAGTTCTCAAAGTAGTTCTGACTGTCTCAGTGTCCCGCTGTCACATGATCATCATTTGTAACCTTCACCGCCAGCTTCTGATAAGCAAAGTCAGAGCCAGCAGGAGATCATGTGATGTCATATAGTTTGAGATTTGCTCAACAATGGCAATCAGAAGTACTGCAATTGCTGTTACTAAGCAGCACAATCATGTGATATTGCACTTTAGGACCATGTTGCTTAGTATCAGACATTCTAGATCCAATTGCTGCTGTTAACTGTAAAATAAAAAGAAGTTTGGAAACCATGTGATTTTGCCTTCGTTGTGCATCCCAATGGCTAGGAACGGAAGATACTGAGCTGCCTTTAAGACAGTTCCTGACTTCAGATTCACAGTCAAAAAGAATACACAAGGAAGTAGAAATGGAGAAAGAAGGACAATAATTATTGATGGTGGTGACTTGAATCTCAATACAGTATTTGTTTTTTAGGGAAAAATATTTTACCGACCTACCATATTCATGGGTCTGATGCTATTATAAATCCTTCACTCTCCTGAAGCCTTGTCTATGAGCAATATACAGTTCTAGAGAAAAAAGACCAGAGTATTTGAAAATGCCTTTGCCTGAATTTTAGTTCTGACCACTTCTTGTCTTTTCAGAAGGAAAGAAAAGGAGCTAATGAAGCGGACATTCCCATCTATGGGAGTCTCATTCTCCATTACTTTTCCTTACTCTTACCTTTGAAGAGACAAGGACTCATTATGTTATGAGCACTGGCAGCATTTTGAAATGGTAACTCTTGAGACATTTATAAAAAGGTTCCCATTTCTTCCTTATACAATATTCTGAAATATACCATATGTCAATTTTTTTCTTTTTGTAAAAAATTAAAGTAACTTTGAGAATAAATCAGCATCTCGCAAAGACTAATGTTTAAGTTATTTTAATCTCATAATCAAAATATAATTTTCTAACAAAAAGTAATTTTTTATAACTATAGATCATGGATTGGTTTGTACAAATATGTTTAGCACTGAAGCACGTACATGATAGAAAAATTTTGCATCGAGATATAAAATCACAGGTAAGTTAAATATAACCATTTTATATTGAATTTTAATAGGTATGCTGAAACCTAGTGCTCGCAAATATTGATGAAATAAATTGAGTCTGAACAATTCTTAAGACTGGAGAGGTGGTTGTTCAAAGCAATAGTTATATTGCTGAAATATAGTATTTCAGAAATGAGCTGTACTAAATATCAAGCTCATGGTTTTTCTTCCCACTTCTTTTTATATGTGTAGTTATAGGATTTTAAAGTTCTAGATTTTAAATAAATCATTGTTTCCTGTTGTGCCTATTTGCATTAGCAAATTTATTTAAATAAGGTTACAAACAAACCTGTCTTAAGCTGCAGGTTTCAGCAAGTTTCCCAAGTTCATACTTTCAGTTTTGTCCTCTTCCATGAACAGAAGTGCGGGAGCCTTAAACTACTTTTAGCTCATAACATGAAACCAAAATTCTAGGCTAGAATACCTTTTCAAGAACAATTTGTCCCTAAATAAAAGTCAAATGAGTGGTAATTGATGCAGCTGATGTTTAGTTAGGTTAACAATGTACAGACTATAGCTAAGTATTTAAAGTATTAAAAGAAGAGCTTTACTAAATACTTTAACATAAACAAAACAAATTATTAAAACAGATCCTTTGCAGAGCTTATTAGTTGGTTCAAATCTGTTCCTGTTTGTGCACATGTGCACAATTCCACTGTTAGTAAAGCAGCCATGCATACAGAGTCAGCTGGGGTGTCTTGAAGCAACTGTGTGATACTTTTATTATTTATTATTATTTTTACAAATAACTCCAACACAGTTTCTCCTTCTATTTTTCCCCATAACAGCAAATCTGTGAGGTGCATTGGGCTGAAAGAAAGTGATTGGTCCAAAGTCACCCAGCTGGACATAGTGGATTGCAGCCTAGTTCTATCATGAATTTAGTTGTTTTATTAATTTAAAATATTTAGTATTTATTTCATCTTATCTTAGATTTCTCCTACATGTGTTTACTGCATCTCTCAAAAGGACTACAACATTTTTTAAAAAAAATATGCTATTTGTATATTAACTGTTATCTGATCATAATTAAACAATTTGATGACTCCTGCAGTTTAATCAAGCATATTTTTTCTACTTAGAGGCTGATACGCATTTTAAGTCATAAGGTGAAATAAGTTTTTAAAGAAAGATTATTTGATTCTGTGCATTAATTTGCTTCAAGATAAAAGTTTGATTCATTTGCAGAATTTTGGGACTGAATTGCTGGATTGCACTTCACATTGTGTAGCCATGTTTGAATACAACAAAATTGCTTTGATTTCTACAAAAATTGTAGTGGTTGGATTAACAGAATACAAATCAAAATTAAACATTATAAACTGTATGTTATCTCTGAATAATATAATGTAATAATATAATAATATATGTAATATGTAATAATCGGCCAATGTAGTTTCTAATTTTAATTGTAAATTCTAAGTTAAAATCAAATTATTGTGCATAATTTTTTAAAAAAATAATAATATTACATTTTTTTGTTCTTCTACTCCAGAATATATTTTTAACCAAAGATGGAACAATACAGTTGGGAGACTTTGGAATAGCTAGAGTTCTGAATAGGTAACCTTAAAACAATCCCCATTGCTTCAGTTTTAATATTATTAAGGTGGTTTAATTGATTAATACCATTTTATTTTTTTAGTACCGTGGAACTTGCTCGAACTTGTATAGGAACACCATATTATTTGTCACCAGAAATCTGTGAGAATAAACCTTACAATAATAAAAGGTAGCGTGTAACTATTTTCAATTATAATCTACATAGATACATGACGTTTCATTGTGCTATCATTTTTTTCAACTTGCTTGTTCTCATTCAACTTTGCTTTATTTTAGCTTTGTAGAGAAATTAGTGTTTTTATTCAGTCTTAATATAATTGTTTTAGATAAAGAAATAAAAATGTAATTCTTAACTACTAAAAACTGTGTAATATGTAGTTCTGACTCTGTAAAGCAGTATATGTTGTGCAATGAATTAGAAAACCTAAGTGTATAGTAAACATTTTAAAATACCATTATATATATTTGACAATCAAAATATGCCTCCATAATTAGCCATCTCATTCTGTGTAGTTTACTAGGGCAGGGCTTTTCACCAGTGGTACGGGTACCATCTGTGGTACATTGGCACCTGGCAGGTGGTATGCGACCATTCTAGAAAAGTGGTAGCAGGGTAGGGGAATGAGCTGAACCGATGGCAGCACCGCACAAGCCTGAGTGAGAGATGGCTGGAGCTACAGGGCTGTCAGAGCTCAGCAGAAGCGCCAGGATCAGTGCCGCTTTCCAGCTGATTGGTGGTTCTTCAGGGCTGTCAGGGCTCAGTGGAAGCACCAGGATCAGCGCCAGGCTCCAGCTGGAGCTCGGCGCTGATCCTGGTGCTTCTGCTGAGCCCAGAAGAAGACCAATCAGCTGGAAAGCATTACTGATCCTGACGCTTCTGCTGAGCCCAAAAGAAGCGCTGATCAGCTGGAATGTTGCAGATCTCCAGGGTCTTGTGATTTACATTCAGATGTTTGGCAACTGATTCATATTTATGATGGTCGCAGTGTCCCGGGATCATGTGAATTGACCAAAACCTGCTGCAACCACCCAGCAGACGGGGGGAATATAAACCAAACAACCCCCACCCCATCCCACTGCCAATCCTCAATAGAAATGCTCACAACAATGAAAACCTTGGACAGGAGGAAGAGCGCCGCTGGGCGCTGTCTTGCTGGGCTGTGGCTTGGGGGGCACTTTTTTCAGTGCCATTGTAACTCCGAACAGTCACTAAGCGAACTGTTGTAAGTTGAGGACTATCTGTACTTTATCACTTTTTCCTTTTTTTTTTGTCATCAAGTTTTTGACACCTTGCTAGGCGACTAGTGGTACTCGGATGCTGCCATATCCTAAAAGTGGTACAATGGGTAAAAAGGTTGAAAGGGCACTAACAGGGATTAGTAATGTATTTTAGAATTTTATTTCTTTCTAGAGGCTAAAAAATGACTTAGGAAAAAGTGGAACAGAAGCAGTAAGCAAGCAGATAATACTTAGATTACAACCTGACTCCATTTTACACTGAGCCATAATTTCATTATTTAACCATTGAAAGTCAGTATATAAGGTATATAAGATATATAAGGTAAAAAAGGATATATGCAGCATTACCTTCATTTTAGATGTGAAACGGGTCTCTATCTCTCTCTCTCTCCCCCTCTCCCTCTCTCTTTCTCCCTTTCTCTTTCTTCTCCCTCTCTTTCCCTCTCTCTTTTCTCTCTCTCTTTCTCTCTTTCCCCCTCTCTTTCCTCTCTCCTTCTCTCTTTCCTCTCCCCCTCTCTCTTTCTCTCTCCCTCTCTCTCTTCTCCCCCCTCTCTCTTTCTCTCCCTCTCTTTCTCTCTCCCCCCCTCTCTCTCCCTCTCTCCGATCTTCTGCTCACCTGGTAAGCTGGCTTCAAGCTGTTCTCTAACAAGCTGACACACATTCTTATTGGGCTAGCTCAGGGGTAGGCAACCTCAGCTCTTTTATGACTCATGGACTTCAACTCCCAGAATTCCTGAGTCAGCCTAGCTGGGCTAGCTAGCTCCCTCCTGCCCTTTCTGCTTCCTGCTTCCTGCAGAGACGCAGCCAAGGCAGGAGTCCCGCCCAATAAGCTTCTCAGCTCGTCAGAACAGGGTGAGGCTACTCTCTTTTTTATACACAGAGAGAGAGAGAGAGAGAGAGAGAGAGAGAGAGAGAGAGAGAGAGAGAGAGAAGCTCTTTCTCTGTCTCTCTCTCTGCAAATGGCAGAGGAGGCTGGGAGCCTTAGGAAGGCTCAAAGAGCCTCATGCGGCTCCGGAGCTGCAGGTTGCCGACCTGTGACCTAAGTGAATCAAGACAGAATAGATTTCAACTGTGGCATTTTTCCATGTTCTCAAATTCATAGGACAATAGATTATATTGCTACAACTGACATGTATAATATATTCCTACACAGTTTTTTTTTTATGGAAGGGACCAAAGACAAAATTGAATTTTTAGCTGACATTGTAAATTTACTATTTGTTTTTGTTTCTTAGTGACATGTGGGCCCTTGGGTGTGTTCTTTATGAAATGTGTACATTGAAACATGCAGTAAGTTAAAGTTTAATATTCTTAATGAATGACCTATTCTGAGCATTTGTATCCCTTACTGATAATATTTTTGGTAATTGTTTGGCTGTTGGGAAATAAATAAATAATTGCCTTAGATAGTTATTTTATCTATGTTCTCATTTGTCCTGACAAATACTATTTTGCTTTAATGATAGAAATGATGTGTTTTTATATAATTTTACCTTCTCACATAAAAAGCTGTTGTACTTTATACATATATTGGATGACTTGCACTTCCAAACATAGCTGGTATTATTTGAGGGTTCAGGTCCCACATTTAAATACTTTGAATAATATTGCAAAGAAAAGGTCACAAAAAGTGAGATTATAGTTAGTAAAGTTAAGATTTAAGTTATCCATTTATGTTCATCCTTCATTCATCAACTTTTCAGCATGAATTAACATTAATATGCCAAGTTCTTTCTTCCTTATAGCAATTTGCACTTCTTAAGTATGTTTACTGAGATAAATCCTAGTTTCAGTGAGTCAGTTCTTTGTATAAATATAACCTTGAAATAATTGCATGACTACTGGTAGAACCTGTTTTATTAGTTTATATTTGCGAAGTGCATTCTTTATATTTCTGAATCACTATGAGAGGTGAGTCACCACGCTATATTTGTGAAAAATTACAGAATATGATGGAAACTACAGGACAGAACGACTGATCAGTTTCTTTACTGTATAATTAATCTAGATTAGTTCTTGTAAAAATTCCCAGTTTATACACATAATATGAAAATATTGAAAAATTATCTGTGAAAGTGTCCTATAGGGTGAAAAAAGTTAATATCTTGAAAAATATTTTAAAGTAACTTAAGGATATCACTAAGTATACTTCAGCATTGCTATAATCCAATGAATTCTACTTTTCTCTCTAGTTTGAAGCTGGTAATATGAAAAATTTAGTTCTCAAAATAATCTCTGGATCATTTCCTCCTGTTTCTACACGTTATTCCCATGAACTCCGGAGTCTGATTTCACAATTATTTAAAAGAAATCCAAGGGATCGACCATCTGTCAACTCCATATTGGAGAAAATGTTTATAGTTAAACGCATTGAAAAATTTCTTACACCACAGGTACGTATTTGGATCTTTAGTTCTAGGCAGTGAGTTCAAAAGTCCATTTCAGATTTTTCACTTCCAAGAAATATTAAAAATTCCTTTATCAGTGATTATATCAATTATTATTCTATTTCATAAAATGTTTAAAGATATTGTGAAAACAGAGGCAAGATCCCCCCCCCAATTTTTTCCCAAAAGGAAAAGCCTCCAATTATAATAGCCAGGAAAAAATGGAATATGTTAAAGCCTTAGGCAAATAGAAATAGACTAAAGAGGAAATTCCATCAACAAGGAAGAAAGGACAAGGAAAGATATGTCAACCAATAATGTCAACAAATAGAAGAAGAAAAAAGAGAAAAGTTGCAAGGAACGTTTTGTAACACATGGAAAACTGCATGAGAACTTTGTAAGATCCTTGTGAAAGCCAATTTGGTTTAGTGATTAAGTACAGGACTAGGAGCAGGGAAATCAAATTTTAGGCCTGGTCTAAACATAGCCTAATTGGCCTCTTCATTTAAAGGTGAATAAGTGAAGATGGTAGGTAGACTTGTTTATTGACTAAAGAAACAATAAAGATAAATGGAAAAGTAGGAGAGAACAAGAAAGATAATGGAAAAGTAGAAGAGTAGTTCTAGATGGGAAAGAAATGACAACTTTGAAGACAAGATAATGGATAAGAGTTAATGACAATACAGTTAAAGTAATAGTTTTTTCTAGTGGTGATGTATAGCTAAGAAAACTGGATATTGAAAACAAGTGAGAGAAGGACATACTGAGAGAATTGTGGACTTGAAAAAGAATCAGTCTTGGACTAAATAAAAACTGTTACCTTGAGGTAATAACTGGCAAGCAGAAGCTTGCATATTTTGGGCATATGAGGTCAGCAGGTGTGGGATTAGAAAAACCTATGCCTGGCAAATGGAGGAAATTAGAAAAAGGGAAAGCAAACTAATACAATGAACTAATGGAATTTAAGATTATTAGAATTTCCTCAGAGAGCTATGACTATTAGAAATCAAGCTGGCAAAACTTTGGCCATACAATCACCAGAAATTGAACTTGATTTAATAATATCAACTAACTACAGAATATGAATTGCTATTATAATAATTTCAAATATGAATATTATTTCAATATTTTGCCTAAGGTTTTGAAAAGCTGTTACAATTGCTGCTGTGTAGTTGTATGTGGAAGTAAAATTGATTCTTAATTTTGATCCAAATATTTATGGAGTGCTTGGTGTTCTTTGAGCTTGCTTGCTTGGTTGTTTCATTACTCAGCTAGGTAATACCTTCACAGTTCAGCCCTGAGTTTACACTTATATACTCTTTCACTAGAACCAAATATTTACTTGAAACCAACTTTTCCCAACCTAGTTGCCTTCCAGGTTATTGAATTACAATTTGAATAACCAACCATTAGCTAGTGGCATCCTGAGAGAGTTATAGTTTTGAAATATTTTAAGTCCAGTTCAAAATTCAATATCTTCAAAATACACAAGGAATTCTTATTAAGTATCAGTATGGCAAGTTTGCATGTATAGAATTTCTGCCTAAATATTCAGGTTTATATAGAAATAATCTTTGAATCAGGCTGCGGACTCTTTAATAAGAGACTTTATAATTTGTTCATATATTAGGTTTATATTTTGTCAAGAGTATTAGGTGGCATAGAATAGCATTTCATTGCCCCCATTTTTCTTCACAGATATAAGTTCAGGAGGTAGAGTGAGTTGAGAGTGAGTGACTACCCAAAATTATCCAATATGTTTATGTAGGCTGAAGGTAGACTTGAATCTGGGTCTCCCCAATTAAACAACTAAATGATGGCGGCTGTCAGAATGTGATACAAAGCTATAAATACTTACTAATATTAGTATCCTTAATAATTTATTCTCAAATTCACATCAGCAATTTTTTCTATCATGAATGCAAGCATAATTATCACTTTAAATGTTTTATTTTTGTAATTAACTTTAATTGCTGATATTTTATTCAAAAATATGTTCTTTTAGCTTATTGCAGAGGAATTCAGCCATAAAATGTTTCAGAAGATTGGACCTCATCCTGGACCAGGTAATATATAAACTAAGTATTTCTAACTAAATATATAATCAACTAATAAACAAATCTTAGTGTAGCTGATCTCTGAGCAATTAAGAGCCATAACAATGGCTTTGTGTATATGAAATCTTTTATTTATCTTACATAGTTAAGAACTTTAATTTAAAACCTTTTTATGATTCTGGATAATCTCTGTATAACAGAAGCTATTGTTGGCTACACTTTTGTTCTTAAGATGATTTAGTAAGGCATCTTTGCCTTTTTGTACATTATGGAGCTTCAAATTATAAATAACTTTTCCATTATTTGTCAAAGTAAGAGAAATGTGAAGTCTGTCCCTGATTCCAGCATGCATTTAAACATTTCAATTTTATACATACCTCTGAAGCATATGAAAATCAGTAAGATTTATTGTATAAGGTTAGGCTAACGAATATTTTCCAAATATCTCTCCCAATATTGTTTTACTATGAGCAATATTTTATATATCCAATTTTGTGCAAAGATTTGGCATTGTTATTCTCTCTTGCATAGCAAAGAGACCAGCCCAAGGACAAAACTTAGCCTCTGCTGCACCTGCTCACAAAATTACTAAACCTGCTGCTAAATACGGAGTGCCTTTAATACTTAAGAAATCTGAGGAATCAGCTAAGAAATTCTGTGAGAAGCCTGTAACTAAATGTAGACAGGTGAGAGCCTATTTAATAATAAAATTTTCAATCTTTGGGGATAGAAAAAGGGTACATTTATTACTGAAAGTGTTTTACATTGCACTTTTCAGTATCATAATTTCACCTGCAAATTCCCTAACAGTAGTGTCTATGGAAATTCTCAGTCATCCATGTCATAGTTATCCCAAAGATGCTTTTTCAAAAGGCAACTGGACTTTCTTGTTTTTCTTTGAAGACATTTCACTTCTCATCCAAAAAACTTCTTCAGTTCTGACTGGATAATGGGGGATGGAAAGATTTATACTCTTTGCAGACAGCTGGTCATTTGCATTCTTTTTGTGAGTCATTAGTGCTACCTGGAGGCTTATCTGTGTCTTCATGGTCACCTGAGTAGTGCAAATGTGTGTAGAACCTTCTTGGAACTGTTGAAAGGACTGTTGTAGACTGGAGATAGATGATATTCCCTAACAGGAATTGAAACATAGTATATAACTAGTCTTTGCATCTAGTTTGATTTGAATTCTGATTCAAAATATGTAATATATATTTCCACTGACTTTTACTTGTATTTAATTGCAGATGAAATATGCATTATATTTGACCCAGTGTATAAGATTACATGCAGCTATATGTCAATTAATGGTTAATAGCTGCGAAGTAGAGCAATGCTGAAGTTCCATCTTAGTGTCATTTTCATATAAGTTTCTTATTTAAAATGGCAGTAATTCAGAATCCTGCCAGTAAATATTCCTGAAAAATCTAAAATACATAATATCTAAAAGCAATAGATTTTGGTTAAATGGAACCAAGTGTTTAACTTCTAAAAGTTCAAAATAGTGCAGTTTAGTGGGTCTTCTTGAATATATTGTAACATTATGGCAATATATTACAGTACGTTAAATGTTCGCTGTTCAACCTCATACCTCTCTATTCAAAGTAGGACATGGATATTTAATCAACTAACAGTTAACTGTATCAAATTAAGGTTGAGAAGAATAAAGTTCAGTTGCCACTAACTTATATGCTTGGACAAGTCATTTATTTTTAGATTAGTGTACTTCATCTGATTAATAAAAAAAATGTGGATAAAAGAGTGTGCAGGTTGATGAATCTCCTTGGAGGAGAGGCAACATTTGAAATAAAGTTATTGTATTACACATTACCATATTTAAATTTCTAGGTTAGATCTGGTCTATATTGTACTACCAGCAAAAATGCAAATGAATTAACTCCAGAGCCTGTCTGAGTTGGCTTTTTCTTTAATGGCCTTTAATAATAATAATAATAATAATAATAATAATAATAATAATAATAATAATAATAATAATTTTCAAATTACTAACTGGTATAGTAGCTGATGCAGTGCAACAGCATCTAGTTGAAAACAATCTCTTTCCACCTGAGCAGAAAGGAAACCGCCCCAATAGCAGAGGAACAAAAGATCAACTCCTAATAGACAAAATGATCTTGGAAAACTGCAAGAGAAGGAAGACCAACCTGAATGTGGCATGGATTGACTACAAAAAGGCATTTGACTCTCTGCCACATGATTGGATAATAAAGTGCCTAGAAATAACAGGAGTCAGTAGAAACATCAGAAAATTTGTGCAAAGATCGATGGCACAATGGAAGACACAGTTGCAGATCAATGGTGAGAGGCTGGGAGAGGTTAATATCAAGAGAGGAATATTTCAAGGAGATTCATTATCACCATTACTATTTGTTATTGCACTGTTTCCTCTGTCAACAATACTGAATAACTCAGGACATGGCTATCAAACATCAAAAACATCTGCCAGACTATCCCACCTCCTTTATATGGATGATCTGAAGCTGTATGGAAAAACATCATCTGAAATAGAATCGCTGCTCAACACTGTCCGTATATATAGCCAAGATATTGGAATGGAGTTTGGCTTGGACAAATGTGCCACACTTACTATCAAACAAGGAAAAATAATGAAAACTGAAGGAATCAAGATGCCCCACGAAAATAACATTAAGAGTCTGGATGAGGAAGAGTACTACAAATACTTGGGTATCCTTCAAGCTGACAACATCAAGCACACTGAAGTCAAGAAAAAGATTAGAGGTGAATACATCAAGAGAGTGAAGAAGATCTTAAAATCCAAACTCAATGGAGGAAATACCATAAAGGCAATCAACACCTGGGCAATCCCAGTCATTAGGTACACAGCTGGAATAGTGGACTGGACTCAAGCAGAACTAAAAGCAATGGATAGGCAGACCAGAAAAATAATGACAATGAATCATGCCCTTCATCCACGCAGTGACATTGATAGACTTTATCTACCAAGGCAAATAGGTGGGCGTGGAATGCTACAAGTACATCAGATGGTTGAAGAAAAAAAATGGCTTTGGAAGAATATCTGAAGAACAATGATGAAGATGCACTGAAATTAGTATATCAGGAAGGCTTACTGACTACTGGAGAGAACAAACTGGCCTACAAGAAAGACCAAATGAAGAACAGAATAGAGGCATGGGAAGACAAAGCACTACATGGCCAATACATTAAAAAAATAGCTGGGAAAGCAGATAATAATAAGACCTGGCAATGGCTAAGAGCAGGAAAATTGAAGAAAGAGACCGAGGGACTAATTCTGGCTGCACAAGACCAAGCCTTAAGGACAAATGCATACAAAGTCAAAATTGAGAAGACAGCAACAGACAGTAAGTGCCGCCTATGCAAAGAAGCTGAAGAAACAGTGGACCACTTGGTAAGCTGTTGCAAGAAGATTGCACAAACTGATTACAAGCAGCGGCATGACAAAGTAGCAACAATGGTGCATTGGAAGATCTGCAAAAAATATCATTTGCCTGTAAGCAAAAACTGGTGGGATCATAAAATAGAGAAAGTCATAGAAAATGATAAAATTAAACTGCTCTGGGACTTCAGAATTCAAACAGACAAGCACCTGCAACATAACACCCCAGACTTAACAATTGTCGATAAGAAAGACAAAAAAGTCTGGATAGTGGACGTGGCAGTGCCTGGAGATAGCAGAATAGAAGAGAAAGAACTGGAGAAGATAACAAAATACAAAGACCTACAAATAGAAATAGAAAGACTGTGGCAAAAGCAAGCAAGGGTAGTACCAATAGTCATAGGCTCCTTGGGTGCAATCCCAAAACAACTGGAGCACCACTTGAACACCATTGGCATTGACAAATTCGCTATTAGTCAATTGCAAAAGGCGGCCTTATTAGGAACTGCTTCCATCCTGCGACGATATCTGTAATACCATCAAACATCCACATCTGCCTATCCCAGGTCCTGGGTAAGGACTCGATAGGTAGACAAAATGCCAAATCCAGACTGAACATCTGGCTGACTGTGCGATGATTGATAATAATAATAATAATAGTAAAGTTGGAAGGGACCTTGGAAGTCATCTAGTCCAACCCCCTGCTCGGCAGGAAACCCTATACCATTTTGGACAAATGGCTGTCCAGTCTCTTCTTAAAAACTTCCAGTGTTGGAGCATTCACCGCTTCTGGAGGCAGGTTGTTCCACTGGTTAATTGCTCTCACTGCTGGGAAGTTTCTCCTCAGTTCTAGGTTGCTTCTGTCCTTGATTAGTTTCCACCCGTTGCTTCTTGTCCTGCCTTCTGGCGTTTTGGAAAATAGTTTGATTCCCTCTTCTTTCTGGCAGCCCCTGAGATATTGGAACACTGTTATCATGTCTCCCCTCGTCCTTCTCTTTATTAAACTAGACATACCCAATTCCATCAACCTTTCCTTATATGTTTTAGCCTCCAGTCCCCTAATCATCTTTGTTGCTCTTCTCTGTACTCTTTCTAAGTCTCAACATCTTTTTTACATCGTGGTGACCAAAACTGGATGCAGTATTCCAAGGGTGGCCTTAACAATGCATTGTAAAGTGGTATTAACACTTCATGTGATCCTGATTCTATCCCTCTGTTAATGCAGCCTAGTACTGTGTTGGCCTTTTTGGCAGCTGCAGCACACTGCTGGCTCATATTTAGGTGATTGTCTACTAGGACTCCGAGGTCCCTCTCACAGTTACTACTATTGAGAAGGTGCCACCTATGCTGTACTTGTGCATTTGGTTTTTCTTGCCTAAATGTAGAACCTTGCTTTTTTCACCATTGAATTTCATTTTGTTAGATAGTGCCCAGTGTTCAAGTCTGTCGAGGTCCTTCTGTATCTTAAGCCTGTCTTCTGGAGTGTTGGTTATTCCTGCCAGCTTGGTGTCGTCTGCAAATTTGATGAGTTCCCCATCTATCTCTTCATCCAAATCGTTGATGAAGATGTTGAAGAGCACTGGGCCCAGAAGAGAGCCCTGGGGCACCCCACTACACACTTCCCTCCATATAGATGCGTTTCCATTGAGGACCACTCGCTGAATACGGCCGGTCAGCCAGCTACGGATCCATCTGGTGGTGATGTTGTCTACCCCACATTTTTCTATCTTATCAAGTAGTAGGTTGTGATCTACTTTATCAAATGCCTTACTGAAGTCCAAGTAAATTATGTCCATAGAATTCCTCTGATCCACTAATTTTGTCACTTGGTCAAAGAATGCAATAAGATTTGTCTGGCATGATCTATTTTTGACAAACCCATGTTGGCTTTTTGTAATGACTTTGTTTGCCTGTAGGTGTTCATTGATTCATTGTTAGATTATCTTTTCCAGGATCTTCCCAGGTATTGAGGTCAGGCTGATAGGTCTGTAATTTCCTGGGTCCATTTTTTTCCCTTTTTTGAGGATGGGAACTACATCAGCTCTTTTCCAGTCCTCTGGTAGTTCCCCTGTGCTCCAGGATCTTTGAAAAATATAGTTCAGTGGTTCTGAGATCACATCTGCCAGTTCCTTGAGAACCTTGGGGTGTAATCCATCTGGTCCGGGGATTTGGACTCGTCTAGGCTGGACAGGTGCTCACTTACCATTTTCTTCCCTTTTCTTGTGTTTCTATTCTCTTTTTTATGGCACTATTTTTGATAGGTTGGTCTGTTTTTCCCTTTGTGTAAAGACAGATGCAAAAAACGAGTTAAATAGTTCTGCTTTCTCCCTGTTGCTTGTCACCTTATTGCCACTTTCACCCACTAATGGACCAATCATTTCCTTCACTTTTTTCTTATTTTTTACATGTTGAAAGAAGCTTTTTTTGTTATTTTTGACTGTGGTCGTAAGCCTTAGTTCATTCTGAGCCTTGGCTTTCCTCACTTCATCTTTGCAGGCTTGGGCTATTTGCTGATATTCTTAGTTATGTGCCCCTCTTTCCAGTTTCTATACTTGTTCTTTTTATATTTCAATTTGTCAGAGAGTTCTTTATGCAGCCATGCTGGTTTCTATTGAGAGCTGTTATTTTTCCTCTTTATTGGTATTGTGCTAGACTGTGCTTTTATTATCTCATTTTTCAAAATTTCCCAAGCTTCTTGAATTGTTTTCCCCCGGAGGATTCTCATCCATGGAATCCTTCCCAAGCCCTCTCTAATACTGAAATTAGCTCTCTTGAAGTCCAAGACTCTAGTTTGACTGTGTTCTATTGCTTGTGCTTCCATAATGTTGAATTCTAATATTGCATGATCACTTCCTCCCAAGGTTCCTATGGCTTCAACACCTTCTCTCATTTCATCTCTGTTAGTGAGAATTAGATCCAAAATGGCTAATCCCCTAGTTCCCTTCTCTACTTTTTGGAAGACAAAGTTGTCTGCTAGGTTTGCCAGGAACCTGTTTGATCTTCCACTTGGTGCAGATTTTGTCTCCCAGTTGATGTCAGGATAGTTAAAGTCCCCCATTACTATTGTGATGTGCTTCCTACATACCTTAGTTAGCTGACTAGCAAAAAGTTCATCTATTTCCTCTGTTTGGTTGGGTAGTCTGTAATATACACCTATGGCAATGTCATTTTCCCCCCTTTTATATTGACCCAAATGCATTCAAGACAGTTTTTATCATTGTTGTGCTCTATTTCTGTAGAGATGTAGTTATTTCTTATATAGAGAGCAACTCCACCTCCTCTTTTATTTGATCTGTTTCTTTTAAATAATTTAAATCCCTCTAGCTGTGTGTTCCATGGTGGGTTTCATCCCACCATGTTTCCATAATGGCAACAATATCATATCTGCCCTCATTAACCCGAGTTTCTAGTTCATCCTGTATGCTGTTCATACTCTGTGCATTGGTGTATAGACATTTGAGTCCTTTGTGACTGGCTCTGTGTTTACTTTCTACGTAACCTGTGTGGTGCCTGAGTTCCCCTATTAGCGAAGAGATCCAGCAAAGAATCATTCCCAGAGAGAAATCATCCAGATGCCCCAAACTCTATGGTCTCCCCAAGATACACAAAGAAGGAACCCCACTCAGACCTATAGTCAGCTCCATAGGCTCACCTCTACAAAACCTAGCCAAATTTCTCGCCAAACAACTACAGCCCTATGCAGAATCCATCACCTCACACGTAAAAAACTCATTCCAGTTTATAGAGATCATAAAGAAACAAAACTTACAGCCCAGCGACCTACTAGTGAGCTTCGATGTCATATCCCTCTTCACCCAAGTGCCTATCAAAGAAGCCTTGACAGCTATTCAAAACAAATATAACCCTCCCAAACACATCTTGGATCTGACCAACCACTGCCTATCCAACACATACTTCATCTATAATGGACAAAAATACAAACAAACAGAAGGAGCACCCATGGGATCACCCCTCTCACCTGTCACTGCCAACCTCTACATGGAACACTTTGAAACCCAAGCTCTAGAAAAATCGGATCACAAACCCAAACTCTGGCTCAGATACGTAGACGACACCTTCATAATCTGGCCCATGGGAAAGAAAAACTGGACAAATTCCTCACACACCTCAACAGCCTACACCCCAAAATACAGTTCACCATGGAAACAGAAGCTAACAACCAACTTCCCTTCCTGGATGTCTTAGTCTACAAGAAATCCAATGGCTCCCTAGGACACACCATCTACCAGAAGAAAACACACACAAACCGCTATCTGCACGCTCTCTCACACCACCACCCAGCACAGATCAACTCTGTAGCCAAGACACTCATCTCCAGAACAAAACGCTTAGCTGATGAACAACACCTAAAAACCGAACTACACACTCTCACCAATGTACTAACATCCAATGGATTCCATAGAAATAAGATTACAAACCTAATCCAAAAAGAAACCCCCACTAAAATCCAAGACAAAGAACAAGAAAACGGCAAAGCCCTCCTCCCATACATAAAAGGCACCAAAGACAGAATCAGTAAGATCCTCCATAAATACAACATCAAAACAGCATTCTGCACAAACAGAAAAATATCCACCATCCTTAGAAACCCCAAAGATAAAATTGAATTAGAAAATCAAGGAGTATACGAAATCCCATGCACCACTTGTCCCACCACATACATTGGACAAACCAACAGAAGAATAAGTGCACGCATTGAAGAACATAAGAACTCAGTCAAAAAAGAGGAACCAACATCTTCCCTGGTCCAACACCTTAAAGCCACAGGACATGAAATTGACTTTAAAAATACCAGAACCATTGCCAAAAGTGAACATTTTAATAACAGAATAATCAGAGAAGCCATCGAGATAGAAAAACGCCCACACAGCATGAACAAGCGAGATGATACCTCCCGCCTACCAGCCATTTGGAAACCCGCCCTTATTGACAAACGACTCCCTAATACAAAAAATGATACCAGACCCACACTCACAAAAACCACACAGGATGTCACCACCACACATCCACGCAAAAAACAAACCCAAAGCCACACCGATGATGAGGCACGACCACAAACCAGAAGCCAGACCACAGCTGCATCATTAGCCACTTTAAACCCCTCCAATCCATACATGAAGCAAACTGACACCCTCCATGAAGAGGAGACACGACCACGAACGTGAAGCCAGAAAATAGCAAGGCAGCCCAAAATCTTAAACCCCTCTGCAACTCAGACTAACCTGAGCACAACCAAACAGAACACTCCCCCAGCCAATCAGAGCACAGCCAACCCCCCATCCAATCAGAGCACAGCCAACCCCCCAGCCAATCAGAGCACAGCCAAGCTCCTAACCAATCAGAACACACCTCCATCCAGTCAGAACACAGCCAAGCTCTGACCCAATCAGTTCATACCCCCATTGGCAGTTAAAAGGAGGAAACAGCTACAATCACACATTGCTCCTAGAAGCACGAAGCCGAAAGCACCAGCCTGAAGATGACGAATGAGACTTTGTCGAAACGTCGCCAAGACACTTCCAATTTTACGTGGGAGAAAACCCGAACAACCAAAGACCTACATACAAATACCCGCGAAAACCTCAGAAAACATATATATAATGAATATATATATTCATTCTGAAATGAGAGCTTATTATATTTCCTAATTATCAGGATTTTTTAAATTCTGTTTTCAGTCATGTGGAAATAGAATGTTGTATTAACAACACTTTCTATATATTCTATATATTCACACGCACTGTACTTTCTTTTGTGTTAAACCTTTACATAGATTCAGTGCTGACTTTTGCAAACCTATGGTAATCTCTATTTAACAACATTTTAGAAAAATGTCATGGCTCTTATAAGGTTTTTTTTTTTAAAAAAAAAATGATAGAACCATTTGTTATTTGTTATTTTTTTTAATCTGTAAACTGTAGAATATGGTCTTAAATAAATATTGCTTAGGAAAGCAAGCTACTCATTTTATAAGATTTATTGCCTATTATTAAAAATGCAAGTACAAGTAATCCTTGGATTATGACTAAAGTTAAGCCCGGAATTACGGTCATGCCAGTTGTTAAGGGGTCACCATATTATGCCCAATTTAACCAATTTAAGCAAATGAGATGATTGTTAAGGGAATGCTATGGTTGTTAAGCAAATCCATTGTCCACAATGGGCATTTTTTGCCAGAACCTGGAAGTAAACATCAGTTTTCTACAGAGGAATCGTAAGTTGTGTGACTGTAGGATGCTGCAAATGACCATAAATACAGTCAAGTCCCAAAATGTGGCATGTGACTGGGGGAGCCTAGCTGTTGAAATGTCAGATCCAGATTGTAAGTAGCTCTGCAGAGGTCCGTCATAATTTTGAATGGTTTCTAAGCAACTGGTTGTAAGTCAAAGACTACATATACTCCTACATATCTGAGGGAGTAATTGTTAATATTTAATTTGTGAAATACAACTGTCCATCTTTTTTATTACATTTAACAGATAATTGAGGAATATAATAAGTTACTATTTAAAATAACATTAAAGTAATAAAGCATTAAGAACTAAACATATAGATGACTTTGTAAAATATAGTCCTGTACTAATTTATCTGTGAAAAGTTAATCTATTTATTAGTAAATATGCATCAGGCCCAAAGCAATAATTGTCAAGTTTAATTTTAAATTATTGATTTCATATTCTCAGTATACAATATGTAAGTTCTTGCTAATTTGCAGTTTCACTTTTTATTCAGGGCCCCCCACCTCCATTGAAGAAAGGGAAACTACTAGACGAAAGGAGGAAAATGTTTGAGGTATATAGACAAGGAAACAGGAAATTAGGCAAGAAGCTTTTAAAAGCAATAAATAAATCTTAAAATCTTTCCTTCTTATTTCCTTACAATAGAATATTTCCAATTTATAAACGTGAATATACCTTGTGTCATTACTATCCTAATCAGAAATACGTTAATAATTCATAGTTTAAATCACTTTCCATTTTTCAGGAAGCAATTAAAAAGAAAAGGCTGGAGGAAAAACAACAGCGTGAGCAGGTAAATTGAAAGCTTTACTATTTCTGGGTTTGCTTGTTTGTTTTGACAGATTGTACAAATTGGCAACATTCTTATGATTAATTGGGGGTATTAAATAAGTTAGATTGCTACTAATTAAAAAATTATTAATTTTTAGATCAGTTATATGAAGGTTGAGCAAATGAGAAGACTTGAAAAGGAAAGGGTAAAATGTTGGACTTTAAACATTAATTATGAAATTCAGTTTTCAGAACTTCCATTGGATTCCAAAGTCTAGCTTTAATTTTTCCTCCTTTTCTCCAGATGGAACGAATAAACAGAGCCAGAGAGCAAGGATGGAGAAATGTTCTCAGCATAGGTGGAAGTAGTGAAATCAAGGTTGGAATTTCCCACCTTTTTATATGAAATTATTTTTTCTAGTTACTATAAATGTGAAGATGAGTAAACAAGAACTATTTTTTACATTCATAGGCTCAATATTTTGGTGGGGGAGGAGCTATTGTGCCTTTACCTGTTCCTGGTCGAGGACCATATGAACACTATCATGCTATTTTTGATCAGATACAACAACAAAAAGAAAATCTTAAAACAGAAGGAAAAGATGTAAAGTTGAATGAAAAGCCTGGTCTAGAGCCTAGTCAACGGTATGTCTACCTTCATTAAAAAATTCATAACATGTAATTCTGGCCTAAGATGCTGAAAATTACTGTGCATGTTTATCTACAGAGGATCTCCAACTGGAGTTCATGCAGGAATTCATAATGGCCCTGCAGCTTACCATCATTCATCTGATGCTGATGCTATTAGGAAAGGAATGAAAAGATTGGAGGAGGTCTCCAGACAAGCCAATGCAAACAGGTTGAGTACATGTCCTGCGTATGTATGTAAATGAAGAAACACTTAATGTACTGAGAATCACAGACGTGGGTGCTCAAAAGGATACCTGAATTAATTATATATTAATTATTCATGCTTCACACATTGCTTCTAAAGATACCATGCTCTATTTCACCCATTAATCTACAATTTTTACATTACATTTCAACATTATTCTTTAATTTTGTGAAGCCATGCAGAATTATGTTCAGCTGGGCAGCCTACTATCAAATCTTTATTATGATTATAAAACAGCATAAATAAGTGGAGTACAGTCATTCAAAAAGCACATAGATTAGAGTAAAAATAAAAATTTAAAAAATTATAAAAAGCTAGAAGATATAAAAGATACATGAATTAAAAACAGTGTATGCAAAAACAATATAAAAGAATGGATAGGTGTGTTTGATAGGTATAGGGAACACAAGAGGTTAGTATGCAGAAGACTATATCAAGACTATAATATGACAAAGGAGGTAACATTATATGGCAACATTGTATCCTGTAGCAAGATTGGTATCTGAAAGCAACAGGGTAACGTAAAATTAATTTTTGCAACCTGGATATTTATGTAGCAATGTGGAGCCCACTAAATAATCATAAGTATTTCAAAATATTTATGAGATAATAATAGAAACTAAAATAACAAAATAGTATTAATAAAACAATAATACCTAAAGTAAAAGAATACAGACATCCCTACATTAAAACATATGAAACATTGAACATATAAAAAAATACAAAGACTCTCACTTCATCTTAAAATTTGTTTACGTGCTTACTAGTCTACCAAGGTAAGTATTTCAGAATTAACAATAAATCAACTTCATCCAAATATTGATGACTATGGGCCTCATCTCCGATATGAAAGGATTCAAAGAAAAATCTCTTTAAAAGATTACTAGACAACCCTTGAACCATTGGGTTATTGTTTCAGAGATATTTACCTAAACAGAAACAGAATAACTAAGAAAGAGTAGGAGAGGGAGCAGCTTCCAACTTCCTTCCAGTTTGACTGATTTCCCCTCAGTAGGTGATGGTGTGATTGGTCTATATCAGACATGTCAAACACAAGGCCTGGGGGCCGGATGCGGCCTGTGAAGTGGTTTCATGTGGCCCGCGAAGCCATCCTGGAAATAGTGAGGGAATGGTCCCTGCTGCCTTTGCCTTGGCCCTGGCCCAGGCCGGCCGGGAGGGAGCCAATGTACAATTTTGTGGTGGCCATCTATGCTGAAACGCATTCAGTCTTAGCTCCACAAGGCCATCTGGAAACAGTGAGGAACCAGCCCCTGCCGCATCAGCACTGCCTCCGGGGTGCATGCTGGGGAGGTATCACCCTTTGTGAGGAATGAAGAATTGCACCATCGCCTGGAAGTGGCCAGCAAATGGCCCTGGCGTACTTCACATATATGGCTTGATGGGCTCTGGGGGAGGGGTTTCGGCAGGCAGCTGGGTGCTCTCCTCACAGCGCTGAGAGGCTGAGCCAGCTGACGCAAATCTGATGAGAAGTGCAATGCTGCCTAGCCCCCAGCCTGTCCATTTTCAGCAGGCAGCAAGGTACAAAGCTGGCGAGCTTCACACCACTCAGCTCAACCTCTCAGCACTGTGAGGAGAGTGCCCCGCTGCCTGCTGAGACTGGGCAGGCTGGGAGCTGGTCGGCATCACGCTTTTCAGATTCGCGCTGCCTGGCTCAGCCTCTCGGTGCTGTGAGAGGAGCGCCTCGCTGCCTGCCGAAACCAGACAGGCTGGGGCTGGGTAGCATTGTGCAGGTAACATTGACTCTCACGCTGCTCATGGCATCCCCTCCCCCCAGAGCACACCAAGCCAGATATGTGAAGTAGGTGAGGGCCATGTGCTGGCCATTTCCAGGCGATGGTGCACTTCTTCATTCCTCACGAAGGATGACACCTCCCAGCTGCGTTTCTTGCCTGTTTTTCTCCCTTCCTCGTCTCAAATATTTTCCCACCACTCTGTACTTAGGAAGGAAAGAAGGAGAGGGAGGGTCTGAGGGAAGTCCTGCCTTAACTTAGTCCTGCCCTGCTGCCCTTTCATCATCCCCTTGCCCCCTCCTCCTGGCCTATCCTGGGGGTCTCCCATCCTATTGCCAAAGCCAGGTCTCCTCCCATGGAGAAGGAATGGGTCTCCCTCTGACTTTGCCCTCGTACCCATCATGAACAATCTGGCTAAGGAGAGCAAGCACAGCAGCAGCAGCCTTGAGGAGGAGGTAAGTGCAGCTGGGCTCCCCCTTGAGGAGTGGGGCTGGGCTTGGTGCCGTGGGTGCTCGAGGGCCAGGCTGGGCACCACCATCCAGCCCCTCCCACATGGCCTGAGAAGAACAGTGAGGCTCCTCCAGTAGACCATGCCTTGGCACTTGCCCTGGTCCCACCCCCTTCTGCCAGAGACCCTCAGATCTGTCCCACTCCTGCCCAGGCCCTCACAGACACCATTGATGCGAACGATGTAGAGCTGGCCACGCCCTCCCCATAGGCCACACTTACTCCATCCACGCCCACCCAGTAGGCCACACCCACCCTGGCCACCCCCCCACCCCCCCAAGGGCAACCGCAGTGCTGATGCGGCCCTAAATAAAATTGCGTTTGACACCCCTGGTCTGTATAACTTCCAGAAGGCTAGGGCGGGACCAGTCTACCTGATCTCCGAAACCAAAGGAAGAGCCAGTCTACTTAGCCTCCAAAGGGCTAGGGTGGTACTAGTCCATTGAACATCTGGGTGGTACTGGTCCACTGAACATCTGGGTGGTCAAGTTTCAATCCCATGGGAGACATGGCACCCAGATTTTGGACACATTCTCTAAGTTAGCACTTTTGAGGTACATTGGCTCAGAAGTTGTTGCACTGTGATGCATTGTTTCATCCAGTTAAAGGTTACAGACACAAGAGTTTTAGTACTATATATATAATACAAGAACAATCCAATATAGAAAGGCACTTGTGAAGGAATCCTGGGAAGATTTCTCCCCCCCCCCCCAAGCAGCTAGTATAGGAGTTTTTAAACCTTACCCAATATTACCCAGCATTATTAGTTAATAGTATTGTTTCCATTTAGTACACTTAGTGTTTAAAATTTAAGTAATTTTGAAGGCAACAATATTACAATGCTGGTTATGGGTAATTACCATTGAAAATAAAGTGTTGTAAAAAATTAATTTTCACTGGATTAAATTCAATGTGGTGAGTTCATCAATGAATATTGTTAGTAGAACAGTTTCCACCTCCCTTTTTATATTTTACAATGCTTGCTAACCATTTTAAAATGTGTAGTATGTGATATAATTAAAAGACAGAACACATGTTTATAAATAATGCTATGCTCAATTGCTAACTTCCAATAATTCGGTTTTAATATATTCCATTTTAAATTTTTCAAAATGCATCGAATGGAGAGAGCTTCTTTGTTTTAGTCTAGTATTTATATTTCTATTACCCATAGAACTCATATACTTGTCTTGGAAAATTAGGATAGCTCCTTTTTCCCCTCTGGCTCCTCCTATGTGGCAGCAGGAGATGTTATTAGAATGAGATTCTGAGGAACATAAGTTTTTATTTACATAGATGGAATGTTGCTGGTTTTAATTTTGAAACTCCCTTTTCATTATATCATAATATCCTAGTGGTATATTTCTAACTAGTTTTAGTATGTTAATAATAAACATATTATCACTTAAATTTCTCCTAAGCAATTTCACAAGTGTAAAAATTCAGTATTCATTGCAGTCTAAAACCTTTAATGAATAATAGTTCTATGCAGATATGTCTCTTCATACAGAGTTGGTGAGTGTTTGTGTGTGCGCATGTGTGTGTATGTGCACACGTGCAAAAAGTGGCTCTAAATCTTCATATTCCTGTTGATTGGCATGCTAGTTAGTCTAATGAAAGTTGAAATTCATCAGTTTCAAAAATAGGGAGATTTTAAAATGTCCAGAAATATTAAAACAGTGGAAATCTGTTTTTCCTAGAATAAAAACATGGAAATACTAGAAGAAAATAAAACTTATAAATAGTGTATGCTATTACCAATGTCTACCCTACTTCCAGTATTTTGAGGCCTGACAGAGGATAGGAAATGATCCAACAACCTCAAAGCAAAAAGTGAAAGCAAAGTCCTGAAAAAAGAAGGACTAATTATTTCTTCTGTTGAGTCAGGGTCGCTTGCAGGATGATCTGCATTTTTGTTCTTTCATTTGAGACCTCTTTAGCTTGTTCTCTGGTATATAAAATGCAGTGATCTGATAGTCTAAACTGTCCTGCATATGGCATTAGAAATCATTCTAGGAACTAAAACCTAAGTGTCACTATATAATTTCTTAACTACAGATAGTCCTCAACTTACAACCATAGTTGAGCCCAAAAGTTATATTGCTAAGTGAAAAATTTGTTGTAAGTTTTGCCCCATTTTACGACTTTTCTTGCCACATTTGTTAAGTGAATCACTGCAGTCATTAAATTAGTAATATGGTTGTTAAGTGAATATCATTTCCCCATTGACTTTGCTTATCAGAAGGTTGCAAAAGGTGATCACATGATCCTGGGACACTGCAACTGTCATAAATGTGAATCAGTTGTCAAGCATCCAAATGTAAATCACATGATCATGGGAATGCTGCAACAGTCATTAATGTGAAAAATGGTCATAAGTCACTTTTTTCAGTGCCGTTGTAACTTTGAACAGTCGCTAAATGAACTGTTGTAAGTCAAGGACTATCTGTAGTTTATATATCATTTTAAAAGAAAATATTAGGAAATATTTAATTATTCCTTGTTTTCTTAATTTTGAAGGCCATGATAACACTAAGGCATTTTTCTCTTTTCCCCTCCTACTTATAATGGAAAAACCATATGTCAATTGTTTCAGTAGTAGGCTGAAAATAGTTTGGGAATATTCTTATATCCGAATTGTACTGCATTGACTGCTAAATAACTTTTTAAACATATATGCTACACCTTGTGCTGAAAATTCTGCAGGTTAATGAGCAATATAACATTTTAAATGTAAGGACAACAGTAATGTTAATCAGCACCACTAATCAGAAAAGATTGAATTAAAATAGAGGACCAGCACTTAACATGTAGCAGCTCAACTTGAATGGAACCAATTAACAATCACAGTGACTTCCTTCCGTATATTTGTAACCATTCCTCATATAAATACAGTTTCATATTAAATTTCATATTTCATATTAAAATAGTTTATTGGAATTCTACTCTGTCTTTATTGTTTTTATAAGTAATTCAAGACAGCAAACATACATAATGCTCACTTCTCCTCTTTGAAATTACTTTTAGATATATTAAGATGTATTAATACATTCAACTTTATATTATACTCAGGCAAAAAGGATGGATAGCTGCAGAGAGAGCTAAACAAGTTGAAGAATTCTGGCAACGGAAGCGAGAAGCCATGCAAAACAAAGCCCGTGCGGAAGGACATATGGTATGAAATGTTGGCATTCTACTGTGCAGGCATTTGAAGTATCTTTTTCATTGTTAACTCTTTTATCTACTTAATCTTTTATTATCTATTAAAATCTATTAACTTTTATGTCAAGACAAATGTAATTACATCTTAGAATCTTGCTTAAACAGTCTAGGAAATATAAATAAAATTGTTTGTATTTTAATATTACTTATTGTCAAAAACTATTTTATTTCTATTTATCTTTTGCATCTTCCTTTTTATTTAAAGAAAATACAGAGTGACTGTAGTTTGCAGTTCATATGGCAGTAATAGTCATAAATCCTAACGTAAATTTTAAAATGCAGTCATGTATGTCTGCACATATTTCCTTGAGAATAATTTCCTGACTTCTGATTAATCAAATTGAGTTGTAAATTAGTTTTAAAATTTGGGCAAACAAACATTCTTGCTTTTCCTAATAATTTCCTTTTAATTAAATCACTTTTTAAATGATACACTAAAACTTAAGGGAATGATGGAAAATTAAAGTAGAAAAAAGAAATTCTCCAATATATATGGATCTTGGCTTTCTTTAACATACCTAAAATAGATTATTCCAAAGTACAGCTGCATAGCTGATGTTATTTTAGCAGTCTATAACCTATTACCTAGTTATTCTAGTTAACATGCTGTACTATTTTATACATAATTATGTATATAATTATTGGGCTGTTCATGTGAAAGCCATGGCTTCCTACTATATGAACAAATCATGGTAAGCTTCTCCCCTATTTTCCTTCTTTGGGATATAAAAAGGGAACCAGAAGTTTTTACTTTTGAACCACTTATGGAGAACTTTGATTTGCCTGGAATTGCAAGCAGAATCTTCTACCATTCTTTATATTTAAAAGAAGTAAGGATAAGCATTGATGTCTGGGGCTTGTTTATCTTATTTGAAACTTCATTACACTATACCGTATTTTAATTTGATCTTTGTTATCTTTCTCTCCTGATTCCTTCATGAATCAACTTTCTGTTCTGAATTTATTGTAGTTCAGTATAATGCCTGATATGGAAATAGACAAAACAGGACAGCGGGTTAGATGGTTCACAGTTTTTAATTTAATTTTAATTTACAGTTCAGTATTTAAATGAAAACTTCAAAAACTTTTCCTACTAGTTTTCTCCTTCATTAAGAGCATTTTGTTTAATATCACAATTCCTCTGCAATACATCCATTACATTTTATAGACATTTATTGATGTTTTATAATAATTGTTAGCAGATTTAAACTAACTCTGAAGGCCAGGCCTAGCTTTCAGAGGGGAATGTAATAAACCAAAAAAGAATATCATTTTCTCTTTTTAGCCAATTTCAATAGGTGTTACAAATGACTATAAACATGTGAGAAATACTTGGTGGCAATCATATGTACTCTTACATATGCACAAATGAGTATATATGACTATATCTTTAGAGTACAGTGGGGAAAAATGAAATGATCAGCTTTAATAATTTAGCCACAGTTATCTGAATTTCCATAATTTATCTTACTTTAAGGTAACTTTTTATCCCTTCAACCTAACACCTTGAAAATTCTGGCATTATTAGCAGGTTGGAATGAATTACCATCAGTTTTACTAAGGCTTAGCTTGAAGTTGTGCATCTGCTATCTGTGGAGTGCAATGAGATTGGTGATCTGCTCTAAAAACCTCCATAAGAAGAATTTTTCAAAATCAGATATTTTGTATTTAGCGGAAGAACATATAAAACATTTTGGGGTAGGACAGAGTAAAGAAAAAATATATTTGTAGGATGCCTTTTGCTAGCATTCATGTGAACATAATCCTCTGCGTAATAAGGCTACAATTTTGCATTGGGTAAGATTTTCTCATTGATAACCCTAGCAGTAAATTAAGTTGTTTTCAATTAATATATGGTAAGAGAACAGGAATAGTCTGACAATGTAATTGCTGCTCTGCAAATTAGTACCAACATATGTAAACAACATTTTTGCTCTGCACTGCACAGAACTCTCTCTCTCATAAAAATACTTTTGAAGCATGCATTATTAGGGCTAAAAGGGGATATGAAAAACTCAATTTTGTGAACTTATCTTCATGTTTATATTTAGGGGCGGGGAAACCAAATGATCTAATTACCTTTGCTGATAGGAAGTAAAGATTCTTTTTATACTATTTCATCTATGAGTGAAGAAATATTTGTTGAGATTTGAGTCCTGATCAAGCTATCAAAAGATTAAAATTTTATTGCTTTTTACGAAATAGGAAAGGGGGTTCACCACATGGATCAGAAAAATGAATATGATACAGAAAGCAATAATCTGATTAAATGAGCAATTCAGAAAAAATGATAATTTCACCAAATTAAATTATATGTACATTTTATTCAAAATATTTCCAAACTTTACCATCATATTATGTATAATATTCTATTGCTATGGTATGTATTTATGTTATGAATAGGAATTCTGAAAAGATTTTGAAATTATAGTTGAAACATTTTCAATAAGTTATGGTGAGATTTTTTTTTGAGAAGCAAATATTAGCATTCAGCAAATATATCTATTGAGTTTACAATTTTAAAGGAAATAACTAGAAGATACTCAGCAAGAAAGAAATGGAAGAAATTTGGTGATTGTTTAAGAATGCATTTTTTCTTTAACTTTTTTATTCATTGATAATGATCAAATGTTGATTGATGTAAGACTAGATAATATGATGGCCCTAGCTATTATTGAATTTAATACAATAAATGGTGAACAGGACACAGTGCAAAACCTGACAGCTATCTATGGAGGCAGGTCCATTTCTTCAAGAGGAAGGAAAGCCAGAAACAAGGAGGAAGAGGTATGCTTCCTGCATGTTTTCTGCCTTCATTGCATACATAGAATCCCATTTGATGCCTCATTTTTTTCTGCATGGATGTATAATTAAAAAAGGGCTTCTTTAGAGTTTTAATTAGTATGAACAGACAACTAGAGATAGCCCTTTGACAAATTTTTGAATTTGTTACATAAATTCTGTCACCAGAAAAAAGTAATTCATTTTCTCTTGAAACAAAATCAAATCTCATCTCTTTTAATAGTTATTAACCACATTTCATGATACATCGATGACATGACTGCCGAATTTGCTTCCCTTCCAAAACAGAATTGTCACATGACTAGTTTGTGAAATTTGAAAGATTCTCCATTGGAATTTGAAAGAATCAGCATTGTTGAAACTTTCCTCAAGCAGAAAGGTCTCTTTTTATTATCTTTCAGGAATACTTGGCAAGACTGAGGCAAATTAGACTTCTAAACTTTAATGAACGTCAACAAATAAAAGCAAAACTTCGTGGAGAAAAGGCAAGTTATTTTCCTTTTATTTAGACTAAGTGTAAGCATTTGCAGTGGCTCGTGATCTTTTATGTCTTTTTGGGTTAATTTCAAAATCTCTGCATAAGAAATTAATTCAAGCCCCTGGACGTCTGTGTTTTGTGCTTCTGCTTATTCTGTGAAGTCTATTCATTCAGAAAGAACAGGGTATTGGGGGGGGGGGGAAGAGGTGTCCCCATTCACTGTGCAGTCTCCCAGGGGCTATCTCTGAGAGAATGCAACACTTGAAAAATAGTGGCCCACTTCTGCTTTAGATTATTAGTGACATAAATCAACAGTTTTATGGAACATGCTCAGTACTGAATCCTGTAATCTATACAGCAAACTACTTCACCTTTTAGCTGAAACTAAAAAAAAGTGAAATCTGAGCATGACTTCTTTTGATTTCACTGATATCTCCATGTAGTATTGTCTCCTCCCAGTCTAATATATAGCCTGCATCCAAGTACTAGTCGAGCCTATCCCTGCTTAGTTCTGATGAGATCAGCTTTGTCTCATAGAGTAACTATACATAAACACATGTGAACTAGAATTCCATGGTTGTATCTTAAAATAACTGCTATTTTCAGGCAGTATGAATTTTAACCTTCCATGTTAGCAAATAAACTAATTTTCATAAGTTTGGGGAACATAGAGAAAAATATCTCTAACTATGTAGGAGGATCTGTGACTACATATAAACTCTCTTTCCACACTGTCAAAAGCTTTTAATGATACTGTAGAAAATTTTTTAGTTGCTTTCTGGTTCAATAATAGTTTTACATTGGTTCACTGTGCATATGCATAGATAAGATTTCATATCTGGACAATTAGCTTTAATCAAAAATAGATTGTTTTGGGGTTGAGTGAATCTAGCAGTTGGGAGATTCCAACAGCTAAGTGAAAAAAATAGCCTGGATATGTATATAGCTAAATTACTAATTTGGTAATCTGTAGAAGCTGCTAGCAAAATGAATATCAATCAGTGCAAGTAACAATACTTTTATATTGCTGGCCTGCTACATAAACTATGTTCTATTTCATTCAGAAGTAGAAATATAATCTAAATACTGTATCCCTGAATTATCTTACAGAGAGGTCACTATTGCAGTTATTATGCAGTAGTTTGGAAATCTGTGAGTAGGATGTTAATATTTGACCTGCCATTTCCCTTGTCTATATAATCTGGTTTGGGGACATTTTTATTTTTAGACATTTCTATCCAGAGTGGTTCCATGTTATATAAGATAATAATAATAGTAGTAGTAGTAGTAGTAGTAGTAGTAGTAGTAGTAGTAGTAATAAAGTTGGGAGGGACCTTGGAGGTCATGTAGTCCAATCCCCTGCTCAGGAAGGAAATCCTATACCATTTCGGACAAATGGCTGTCCAGTTTCTTCTTGAAAACTTCCAGTGTTGATGCATTCACCACTTCTGGAGGCAGGTTGTGCCACTGGTTAATTGTTCTAACTGTCAGGAAGTTTCTTCTTAGTTCTAGGTTGCTTCTCTCTTTGGTTAGTTTCCACCCGTTATGTTTTATTATAACCAAAAAAGTTCTGATCTTTTTAAATAAAGGCATTTCTCTCTTTATTAAAATAGAAAGAATCTTACTTTGATTTGAAATGTAGTTCGGTTATATTGTTATTTTTCTGTTGTTACAATCACCATTAAAAAACTGATATATTTTTTTTTGAAAAACAATTTTTCAGAATGAAAACAGTGGTACTTCTGTCCATGAAATAAATGAAGAAACAGAATTAAGGCGTAAAAAAATTGAAGCATTAAAGGTAATAGTGAAAAATAAAGGAGAAAAATAGCTAAGTTGAAATGGTAGGATGCAGTTATCATATGGAGTTTACAAGTAGGAATGACAAGTGCATGTTAATAATTTCCAAAAAAAAACAACGGCCAGAGCCCTTAGATCAGGGGTGTCAAACTCAATTTCATTGAGGGCCACATCAGCATTGCGGTTGCCCTTGGGGAGCCAGGTGGGTGTAGCCAAGGTGGGTGCAGCCTACTGGGTGAGCGTGGATGGAGTGGGTGTGGCCTACAGGTTGGGCAAGGCCAGCTCTACATTGTTCGTGTCAAGGGTGCCTGTGGGGGCCTGGGCAGAAGTGGGACAAATCTGAGGGTCTCTGGCAGAAGGGGGTGGGACTGGGGCAAGCGCCAAGGCATGGTCCATTTCTTTATTCCTCACAAAGGGTGACACCTCCCCAGCATGCACCCAGGGGGCGGGGCCAGTGCAGCAGGGGCTGGTTCCTCACTGTTTCTGGACGGCCTTGCGGAGCTAAGACTGAATGCATTTCAGCATAGATAGCCACCACAAAATTGTACGTTGGCTCCCGGCCAGCCTGGGCCAGGGCCAAGGAAGCAGGGGCCGTTCTCACACTGTTTCCAGGATGGGTTCACGGGCCTCATGAAACCATTTCGCGGGCCGCATCCGTTTGACATGTCTGCCTTAGATTATTAGTAAAGTACAGGTAGTTCTCAACTTATGACTGTAATTGAGCCTGGAATTTTCATCATAAGTAATGATGGTTATTAAGTGGGTTGCTATGTGACCATGACAAATTTCAAGAGAACTTTAGATTACGTACAAGAAGGGCTTCTGGCAAGGGATGGGCTCCACCTCACAAGAACTAGGAAGAATGTACTTGGAAAATAGCTGCCCCAGCTTTTCTAAAGGGCTTTGAACTAAAACAGAGTGGAGGGTGACAAAACTTTAGGTCCTAATCCCAAGCATAAATCCCAAAACAACCAATCAAACAAGGTAGAAGTAATGGGAAGGAAGAAAAATTCAGATGCAAACTAGGAGATGTAGGAAGCATACCCCAGATCAGCCATAAAGGACTCATGATTATAATCAACACTCAAAGTTTGGGGAACAAACAGGGTGAACTTGAAGGATTAGTACACAAGCGCAATTATGATATAGTTGCCATTACGAAACTTGATGGGATGAAACTCATGACTGGAATGTACTGGTGGAAGGATATAAATTATTAGATCTATAAACAGACCTAACAAAAGAGGAGGTGGAATTGCATTATACGTAAGAGATTGCTACATTTCTACAGAAATGCATAAAACCAATGATGAAAGCCTCCTAGAATGCATATGAGTTAATATAAAAGAAAAAAAAGAATGACATTGCTGTAGGTGTATGCTACAGGCCACCCAACCAAGCAGAAGAAATAGATAAACTTTTTGCTAATCAGTTAACAAATGTATATAGGAAACACACCACAGTAGTAATGGCGAACTTTAGCTACCCTGACATCAACTGGGAGACAAACTCTGCATCTTGGAGATTAAACAGGATCCTGACCAACCTAATTGAGAACTTTGTCATCCAAAAGATAAAGGAGGAAACTAGAGGGACAGCTATACTGGACCTAATTTTTATTAACAAATGATAGAGGGGGTTGAAATTGCAGGAACCTTGGGGGAGAGTGACTATGTCATATTAGAATTTAACATAATGCAGACACAAGTAATAGAACATAATCAAACCAGTGTCTTAGACTTTAAAAGAGCTGATTTCAACAAACTTAGAGCTTTGGAAGGATACCATGGAAGAAAATCTTAAAGGAAAGAACAACTCAAGAAGCTTGGGAAACTCTGAAAAATATGATTATAAAAGCCCAGTCCAGCACAATACCAATGAAAAAGAAAAAAATCCAAGAAGAAACCAGCATGGTTGTACAAAGAACTCTCTGATAAACTGAATGACAAAAAGGACAAGTATAAGATAAGATAACCTTTATTGTCATTTTTTTACTGTGAGCACTGTGGGTCACATTAAAAATGGAGTTCTGTTGCCTGTTTTCAAAAGAAAGTATATATCTACATATACATACACAAGATACCTATGCCCAAACATATGTTACATACAAGTATTAATCATTGTCCATTTTGAACACAGCAAAAAGAGGAAACTTGAGAGTGGAAAAAAGGGGAAAGAGGGACATATAACTAAGGCAGAATACTAGCATATAGCAATAGCAATATATCTCCACCTCTGATGACTTAAATGATGCCATGGCTGCCCTCTTGTGGTGCCTGTAGGCTGTGGGGGCCTGGATGGTGGACAACAGGCTTTGGGTGAACCCTGGCAAGACCAAGTAGCTTCGGTGCATGGAGCTCCAAGATCTAGGACTTTAGTTCTGGATGGGGTTGCACTATCCCAGACAGAACCTGTCCATAACTTAGGGGTTTTCCTGGACTTTTTACTCCTGTTCGAAGAGCAGGTGGCAGTTGCAGCTAGGAGAACCTTTGCACATTTTCATTTTGTGCACCAGTTGCAGCCTTTCCTGGGTCAGTAGTCCCTGCACTCAGTTACTCGAATCCTAGTTATCTCATGTTTGGATTGTTGCAATGAGTTCTATATGGGGCTACCCTTAAAGAGCATTGAGAAGATACAGCTGGTGCAGAGTGCAGCAGCGCAGGCAGTTTTAGGGCCCCTATAGTGGTCCATATTACACCACTGCTTCGCAAGCTGCACTGGTTGCCAGTCTGCTTCCAAGTACAATTCAAGATATTGTACAATCCTGTATGGCATGGCTACTTGAAGAACTGTCTCACCCCAATGGGACTGGCCCACACCGGCAGAGGGGTCATGCTGCGGATCCTATCAACCAAGGAATTTCAGCTGGCAGGCTCCAAGAAAAGAGCCTTCTTTGCCATGGCTTCTGCCCTCTGGAATATTCTACCACGTAAGGTGAAGTAGTCTCCCACCCTCCAATCATTTCAAAAGAGCCTCAAGACTTGACTCTGTAAGATGGCTTGGGTACCCAACAGGGGACTTCATACTGGAGATGGTTGATTAATTAAAACCTAATCCCATCTTCCCACCACTTGTTTGTCCAGCTTCCGCCTTTCCGATCTGGTTTTAATGGTTTATAATTATGAATGATTTTATTTGCTGTGTGTCCTGTCTGTTTTAAAGTCTTCTTTAATGTTTTATGCTGTAAGCCACCCAGAGTCATTGGATATGAGATGGGCGGCAAATAAATTTTCTAAATAAATATAAATAAATAAAGTGGGATGCTGCAAACCAGCATAAATGTGAATTGGTTACCAAGCATCCAAAATTCAATTGCATGACCTTGGGGGTAGGGGGTGGAGGTAACCATCAGAACTCCAGAACTGGGTCTTAAGTAGTTTTAGGGAGATCCGTGATAACTTTGAATGGTCGTTAGGTGAAAACTGTTACATCAGAGAAAAATATTCCAGTATTTGCTCAGCACTGTCATAAAATCTATACATGGGAAAATTAAAAAGGCTCCAATTAAGAATGTGCATACTTATAATAATGCAATAATACCTTAGTCTATTGTTCCATGCATCTTTAACATCGAGTCTGTATCTTGCTACTGGGCTAGTGTTGCTCAGTGTAGCTTCACATTCCCCTTTTCCTTCAAAGGGAACTCATTATATTCCTGCAGTCTGTAACATTTTCTTAGTTTAGCCCAGAGTTCCCCAACCTTTCTGGCTTGGCCCGGAAGGAAAGGGAGCAGCAGGAAAATGTGCATGTGCGCAGCCCCGCACCCATATGCGCAAATGGGTGTGCGCACGACAGCGGGGCTAGCGCACGCGCATGCACAAGTGGGCCACATGCACCCATAGCACTTGTGCTGGCACCCGGGAGCCTGTGGAAATGCGGCATGCATGCCCAGAGCACATGTGCTGGTGCCCGCAAACATGCGCAAATGGGCCGTGTGCGCCCATGTGACGCTGGCAATGCTAACATCTCCACGCCTGTGCAAATGAGGCTGCTACCGCAAGTGGGGCGGGGCTCACTAGCTATTCCCTGGGCCAGTGGCCAACAGGCCATGGCCCAGTATTAGGTCACCTACCATAAATTGGGGACCCCTGGCTTAACCTATACCTCAAATTCTTTATGTTGCCAGTAATCCTCAACTTATAATCATTCATTTAGTGGACCATGTGGCAAACAGGCTGCAGCCCGGTATTAGGCCGCCTACCGTAAGTTTCAAGCAGTCATAGATCACTATCATAGTTGCAGTCATGTGATATTTGGTTTACAAAATTGTAAAATCAAGCATGATTCACTTAATCACTGCCTCACCATTTGTAATCTTCAGAGTCGACTTCTAACAAATAAAGTCAGTAGAAGAAATTGGATTTACTTACTGACCGTGGCAAAAATCAAAAATACAATTTACAAAATTGTAAAATCAGGCATGACTCACTTAATGACTGTCTAACAATTGTGGTCATAAGTCAAGAACTATGTGTCCTCAAATCTACTCTCTTACCAAGTTCTTGAACTTGTTTGAACTAAGTTTATTTGAGCCATTGTTGGAGCCCCAAAATACAGTATATTAAAATGCCATATTATATTTGAATATCAGTTTGGTTCCTATTCATCAATTTTTCATTAAAATTAATTTTCTTCCCTGTAAGTTAGTTTCTTTTGTCTTTAAGGATTGCTTTAAATCAAGATAACTTAAAATTCTTTGGTTTTCTCAGTGGAGAGCCTCTGCTCTTAAGGCTATGGAAATGTTAGAAATGCTGTCAAGTAATAGATCTGGGAAATTAATCTTCTAACTAATCTAACCCTAACGTCTACTCTTACAATTTGAGTAATTCAGGGTTTGGGCCAGCCTCTGTCATCCATTATAACAATGAAATTTTGTAGAGTGACTGGCACAAAAAGAGTTTATTATGAAGAAAGAATATAGTCTGTATTTATTCATTTATATTTGAAATTTGCCAGATGCAAGTGTTTAGTTTTTTCGTTCAGCATCAATTTCTAATAAAGGAAGATGCATCTGTAGTATTAACCAGCAGGGCACAAAGCTAACAGCTTCTCTAGTTTCTTTTTCTTCAACAACTGTATTTACACATTTGCACATTCTCTAACCTGTACATACAATACTTTGTTGTTAAAAGTATGCTGCCTATATCAGAAATTATGTCTGCAATGCTAATAAAGTAAATATACACCAGAACTAGATTTATTTTATGACAAGACTGACACCTTGAGAGCAACATCTCTTAATATGCATATTACAAACTGAGGTGTAATGATATGCTTTGGGGATTTAATAGGATCTAATAGGTTAAAATTCAGTGCAAAAATATTTTTAAAACAGTTATAAATATCAAATAATATATAGAAAATCATATTCTTAGAAATGAAGTTGGTGATTAATTTCCATAGAATTAGGAATAGGGTTTCTTAGTTAAAAAAATTACTTTTTTGATCACATTCAAGGCACAAGCAAATGCCCGGGCTGCAGTCCTGAAAGAGCAGTTAGAACGAAAGAGAAAAGACGCATATGAAAGAGAGAGGAAAGCTTGGGAAGAGCATGTAAGAAATGTTAACCTATTGGATGCTTTCTATATGCTTGCAATTTTTCTTTGAAGCTTTAAACTAAGTATTGTCTTGTGGTGCAGTAAGTATGTGTACATAGTACTATGCTACTTAAAACTTAGATATTTTTCTTTTTTTTCTTTTTGGTCACTGAATCTTCTTGGACAGAAAATTGTCTTAGGGAGCATCCTGTCCTTGAGCAAGGCATAACTGAAACATTCCTCCTAAGCACTACTGTTTTTTTGCCTTTATTCCTCTCTTGATTTATTTCATAATCATCTCAGTGATTTGCCCTTTAAGCCTCTCTGAGATATATTTCAGGTGCTATTCAGATCATTGAATTGATTGTGTTCAGATGACAGGGTGGAATAGAACTGGAAGGGATCTTGGAGGTCCTGTAGTCCAGAGGTTCCCAACCTTTTGGGCACTAGGGACCGGTTCCGTGGAGACAGGTTTTTCTGCAGACCAGAGGATGCGTGGTTTTGTCTGCTGCCTGCATCTCGTAGATGGGGCTTTACTTGTTTGTGCAGCCTGGTTGCTGGCATGCCACAGCCCAGTACTGGTCCATGGACCAGGGGTTGGGGACCCCTGCTCTAGTCCAGCCCCCGACTCAAGCAGGAGAACCTATACCCTATTTCCTATACCCAAGACCCATAAATGTTTGGTTTAATTTCTGTTAACATCACCTGTCCTCTTCCCAAATACTTGAATGTGCAGAAAATGTAGAGGAAAGGGAAGTTGTTTTGGTTTTCTACTAGATAAAGAGGCATGAAAAAGAAGTTCTTTCTAGGCAACAATAAACTCTTAATTTCTATGTTGTCTAACTACAACAAAATGTTTTACCTTCATAACTCAATTTTCAATAGCAGAATGATTTTCACTATCACTCTTACCTAATGATAGAAATGAATAGAACTAAAAAACGTAAAAGTATTTTAGTATTTTAATTATAAAAATGAAAATCAGTAATATTTGGGAAAAAATATGAAGCTGTTCATTGAAGAAGAAATGAAAATGTTTCTATCTTTATATTTTTGTGTTATAGTTGATTTTTCCTTACTGTAGTATGTGTGTGTATGAATTATAATTACAGCTGGTGTCCAAAGGGATAAAAACTCCAGTGGGAGCTTCAGAATTAAGTCCTACGCATACTAAGCAGGAGGAAAGTTCTCCTACTAGACTAAAGCTCAATTCACCACAAATCATCACAATGACATCAGCTTTGAAGGAAGTGGGTGTAGTAAGTAATATCATTATTTGCAAATAATGTTAGAGTTTTGGATAAAAATTGCTGCCACTACCCCACAATGAAATGACAAACATTATCTTTTGCAGTCTCATAGCTATCAGTGTATTTGACATATATTTTCAATCTGGATTTGTAGGATGAAAATGCAGTATTTGTCCAGGAAGGTTTAGGGGATATTAAACCTGATGTTTCTATACATGTAAGTTTAATTATATGCACTTTGTTTTATTCTTACACTTCAATGTTTTTTTTATAAATTCACTTTGTTATATAAAATCTCTAATAAAAGATTTGCTTGTATCCCAAACTATTCTTGAATCTAACATTCTTAACATTCTAAATTGTTTTTTAAATATTCTTTTAATTTCTTTTTACAATCCTCTATTGGTTTTTCTGTAGCAACATTTCATTTAGTTTCTATCTAAAGAACTAGATGTTATTTTATATACCAAATGTACAGGATTATGATATGAAAAAGTATTTCATAATATCACTTCTTTAGAATCATTAGCAGCCAAGTTCTTTGAAATCCAAATCGTGTCTATTTTTTTTAAAAGAATCCAAGTCTTTCAGAAAAGTAGGTATACTCTCTAACTTGAATTGCCATTTTTCTGTCTTCATATATCAACTAGCTCTACATTGTCTATCAAATAAAAAAAGGTAATTTGGCTTGAGCTATTTTAATATTTTTCTCAGAGAGGCTGTCAGTTCTGGGGATATCACTCCATTGTAATCCCCTATCAAACACTAGAAACTTATTTTGTAAATAACTTAAGGAGAGATAAACAATACTTTGTCTTCTTTTGGGCAAGGTTTATTTTTTTAGTAAACATTTTTCTGGTTTTTAGAACAAACGAGAAATACTTCGAAGGCTGAATCAAAATCTTAAAACACATGAAGATATGAAAGAGAAAAGGGAGCCTGAAGACATCTCTGAAATCCCTGTGGCTGGCAAGAATCATCACCAACAAGTAGTAATATGTCCAGTTACAGCTGATCGCAAGAAATGGGAAACAGGAGCACAGTTTGTGGTTCCACTAGCACAATTAACAATGGAAGAATCCTTCTCTCGAACAGAAGGTAAATTGCCTTGGTTTTCGAATTGCTTTTGTAATAAGATGTAGATATTTATCCCACCATGTAACTAATGATACTTAACATAGATTGTGTATATTTCACCAGATGTATTATGCAAATTGCAATGCATAATAGATCAGGCGTGTTGCAGTATTTAACTGTGAATCTTTCTACCACTCAAGAAAGGCAAAGACATGATCCAAATTTTTTGCCTTAGTCCAGGGCTCTTTTCATCCTGTTCATTTTTTTAAAAACTTTGTACAATTAAGTAAACATTATTTACATTTTAATTACACTATTGATGGTTCTATTAACCTAATCTCATTTTTCTTTACACTAGTTTTCTATTTTTTTCTAGAGCTCTATTCTACTTTCATTAATTTTCTAGCTTGCTATATGGCATTATTAAGAATATAACCTAGTTTTCAAAACAAAAAAGTAAGAACAATAACCACAGTGTGTTGTTACAGCATCTAGAGAAACCTGTGCATACTCATGAATCATACCATCTGATAGTGATCTATAATTGTAATAAACTTTAAGTAACTACTTAAATCACCTGTTTCCTCACTTCATGTAAGGGTTTGCCTCAACTAGATCTCCCAAGAAAGCAGAATTTTTGAAATGGACATTGTTTCAAAAGGAACCTTTATTGAGAGTGATAGCAATACAGCAAAGCAAGGTCTGAAGAATTTACGCTCGAAAGGTTACCTCATAATGCCCATTCAGAACTCCTCCCCAGTGTCCAACTGTCTGGTTGAAATCCGGCCAATCCATAGGTGCTAGGTTGTTTTGAGAACCTAGCGATTTAGTACCCATCTCAAAGTCTCTCTCCCTTTCATTTCCCAACGGTCCCAGACTCCGTTGTCTGGAGATAAGGCAGATATTTTCAGGCCACGTTCCTTTCTCACAAAAGGAGGACGTTTCAAAGAGGACAGAGCAGAGCCAAACAAATACACCTTCCAAGTTTTTTATTAATTTTCCAATATTACATTTACATATTCGAAAAGTAGCATTGTGGCTGAGCACAGCAATTCCATTACATTTGAATATCATCAGTACAAATCTCAAAGTATTACAGTGACTAATTCCCTCTTTCCCCCATAATATCTACTGTCATATTCGAACCAATATATTTCTTATTCTATCAATCAAACAAAAAATACCTTTCTAGTATTCACCAATAATCTTCAGTCTATACATATCTTAATTAATTTGACATTCCATCTTTTAGACAATAACCTAGTAAGTTTTTCTTAACTTTAATTTCCCACTGATATTTAAGTTTAACGTTTAATCTTTATCATTTCCAGATTTTAAGTGATCCCAATTTCTAAGTCTCCTATCTCATATTTGGGGCTAATAATTTTTTTTCTTTTCTTCCTTCTACTTCCTTCCTTTCTTCCTTTCCAGAAAAAGAAAAAAAAGAGAAAATGAAATAAAATAAACCACCAGCATTTGTACCACAAACCCATTAATTTAATTATTAGTATTTATAGTTCTAAGTTTCACTTAACCTTTTCTCAACTCATAACTCATAAATATAAACGCTGAGCTGCATTTCTTGCAGATGGCGCTTCAAGGTTGCTTTATATCTTATCTATTTTCAGAGCTGTCAACAAGTCTCTCTTAAAGAATAACAGGTTACGTCTCAGAGTTAGTTGGATCTTTTCAGTTTCCCTCCCCCTCTATTTTAAGGGGGGGGAAGCCCAAATCTTCAATAGTAATTAGAATAAAAATCAGAGAAAAAATATATAGAGAGTAGAAAATTACAAATCTTATAATCCACCAATTTTAGGAAATAGAATTCCAATTAGGATCCCAGTATTTTTCCAACGTTTTAAACTCCCGAATGGTTAGTTGCCGCTGTTTCTGGAGGGAGGGCTAAAATCCCCCTTCCCTCACCACAGGGAGGAAAGTACTTTAGCAGCTTATGCAGATAATTAAGTGATTAGGATGTAAGAGAGGCAAACCTCACCCAATCCTGTCCACGCTGCTTTGAAGTTGCCAGATGGTAATGTGACTTCGCCTGTTAGTAGCCTAGGGACGAGCCATATTTCTGTGGCCGGTCCTTTCGTCTGCCAGTTTGGAGGGATCGCCAGCTCTAACGGGAGAGTTGCTTTCCCGTGATCCAGCGAAAGCCCCTCCTTGTTGGTCGCCTCTTTGGGTGACTTTCGGCCCTTTTCAGGGTCCCCCAGCAATGCGAAAGTGAACGGGGGGGAGAGAGCAAATCTCCCAGCCGTCCATGGCAGCCGCCTGACTAACTGGAAGTCAGAGCCTGACAAATACATTCCCCAGGCAAACAGCCCCCCTCCCACCAGAAAATCAGACCCCCCAAAAGGAATACACAGGCAAAGCAATAATATGCAGGCAAATACATTGAAGAAGTCTGACATACGTCCCCCTAATAGAATGACAAATCCACCTGCAAAACAAAAATAGGGAACGAAAGAGAGGAAAAACAAACACATCAATCAGGTTTATCAGGATAGCGTGCATGAAGGCGCTTGAGCAACCTAGGGGCTCTAACATGTTTCTTATAAACTTACTCGTTCTCTGAGGCAGGAAGATCTTTCCAGGCAACTAAATACTGAGTAGAACCATGATGCTTGCGAGAATCTAAAACAGTGGTTCTCAACCTTTCTAATGCCGCGACCCCTTAATACATTGATCCTTCAAAAAAGCCGAAATCTTTGCCATTTCCGCCAAACAAGAAACTTTTAAAAACCATTCTTGCAAAGTAGGCAAAGATTCCTTCTTCCAACATTGCCCTACTAACAACCTTGCGGCTGTAATTAAATTTAACATCAATGTGGTCTCTTTAGTATCACAATCAGTAACAATACCTAACAAAAACAATTGTGGGGTAAATTTTACCCTCCTTCTAAAAATTCTTTGAATATTCCACCATATCTTAATCCAAAAAGCTTTTATATTTTTCACGACCACCAGATATGATAATAAGTAGCATCCAAACATCCACATCTCCAACATTTAGGCTGTAAGTCAGGATACATGCGAGACATTTTTTTGTGGATCAAGGTGCCATCTATAAAACATTTTGTAAAAATTCTCCCTTAAGTTTTGGGCTTGTGTAAATTTGACATTCCTCACCCAAATAATTTCCCAGGTATCTAGTAGAACTGGTTCACCAAAATTTTGTGCCCATTTAATCATACATTCTTCGATTAATTCTGCTTCTGAATCCAATTCTAGTAACACCCCATAAATTCAATACAGTTCCTCATGTTGTGGTGACCCCCAACCATAAAATTATTTTCGTTGCTATTTCATAACTGTAATTTTGCTACTGTTATGAATCGTAATGTAAATATCTGATATGCAGGGTGTATTTTCATTGTTACGAATTGAACATAATTAAAGCATAGTGATTAATCACAAAAACAGTATAGCAATGCTCGATGGAGAAACTTACTCTTCCTTGCTCAAAAATGTTGGGAGGGAGAAAAGGGGAAGGAAAGAAGGAAGATTGAAGGGGAAAAGAAGGAGATGGAGAAGGAAGGAGATTGAAGGGGGAAGGAAAAGAAGGAGAAAGAGATTGAAGGGGAAAGGATGGAGATGGAAGGAAGGAAGGAAGATTGAAGGGGAAAGGAAGGAAGGAAGCAAGTAAGCAAGCAAGGAGAGATTGAAGGGGAAGGGAAGGAGATGGATGGATGGAAGGAAGGAAGGAAGGATTGATCGATCTTTGGAGAGTCATGTTTTTCCAGATAGTGATGAACTGCAACTCCCAGCATTCCCCACTCTTCCACAGTGCTTTTTAGGGCTGCTGGGGATGGTAGTCCAGTAAGGTCTGGAGACACACACAGATGCCCTCCGACGGTGAGGGAGGTGGGTCGGGAGGCGCGGGGAGGCTCCAGCATGGCACAGAGGGCGGCCGAGGGTGGAGCGCGGCCCCGCGGCAATCAGCTCAGCCAGCAGCAGCAGCAGCGCGTTGCTAGAACAGGACAGGAAGAGAGGGGACAGTGGTGGCAAGTCATGAAAGCAGCGTCCACACGTTCAGGGTGCAAATGCTTTGGACGGTTTGGCTCCCCCACCCCTTTATTTACTGATCTGCCACAAGCTCGTGCAAACAAGCCCCAAGGAGTTCTGAACGAGCGGTCATTTAAAAAAAAAAAGCTTTAAGCAACGAGGCAGAAAGGGGAGCTCGCTCATGGCTCTTTTTTTTCCCTTTCTTGGCAACTGGGAAGGCAGCAGCCAGAGACGCCACTGCACAAAGGGAGGCGGAGATAGGGGCGAGGGGGGAAAACCTCACTCAACTTTCGCCCTTATCAGACCCGGTTCCCTTCTGGTTGACCCCCACCCGCCCGCCCCCTTCACCTCCCACTACAGATTGACGCTACCCCTTAGGAGTATTTCACCTGGCTTTTTTTTTACCTTGGCCCTGCGCTTCTCCTTGGGGCTTGTTTGCACGAGCTTGTGGCAGATCACCAAATAAAGGGGTGGGGGAGCCAAATCGTCCAAGGCTCCCTTGCCAGACCTCCCAGCTAACAAGCGCAAGTTTGGGGGTTGCCAGCTGACGGGCGCAGGAGGTCTGCGCCGTGGCAGCTTCCCAGCCGCCTACTTCTTAGGCTGGAGCAGTTGCCAGGGCTTGCATGGTCGCTGGCGGCGGGGAGCGAGTCAGGGGGTATCGGGGACCACGCCAGCGGTCCTGTGCCATGGAGGCTTGAGGCGTGGGATGCAGAGCAGCGCGCTGCCATGGGAGGCGGCAGGACAGGGGGGAGGGGTTACCTGCATCCTGCCAGCCGAATTCTGGAAGCCTGCCTGAATGAAGAATTTTAGGGGATGTTGAAAGGGAGACAGACTGAGGGCTGTATTAAGACCATAGATGGCTGCGTAAGGAAAGTGGAAGGGAGGCGAATTTGGGGTGGAGCAGAAAACACGTGGAGAAGGCATTAGGAAATAAGCACCAAGGTACATGGTGCCTTGCAAGAGATTCCCAAGTGTTCCGCAATTGTTTTTCCTCTCTCCTCTGTGCGAGAAAA